GAAATCTTCCGAAATTCTGCTGATTTTCATGTGGCTGCCGCAAAATCTGAGGCACGTTTTAGACTTGGGAAACTCCAATTCATTGATCTATGTGCTGGGGCCCCTCACTGCTTCTTGGACTGCAACTGGAATTGCTGGAACGGAACGGTCACCCGAAATGATGGCGAACTAACATCGGCTAACTATCCTAGAAAACCCCAAGTTTTCAGGGTGAAGTTATATTAATTCTGCTCAGTATGACCATGAATCATCATGTGTATATACACATATAATAGACATATAATAGACATATATCATATCATATCATATCATATCATATCATATCATATATATACACATCATATATATTCATATATCTGGGTAAATTATAACGACCTCACTGTTCTCCCTCACTATAAATGATAGTTAGGATTCCGGGAATCATCCCAAAATGGCCCAACTATTCAGGTTATATAGTGATATATATATATATCTATATCTATATCTATATATATATCTATATATATAAATAAATAATAATATATATATATATATATATAAATAATAATATATATATATATACATATATATCATGAAAAAAATATCTATATATGTACACATACGTACTTGGTGGTTCATCCCAGGAATCGGAATCGTGGATGAAATAACCCCAGTTATTTCAGTGAATCAACTGCCCTTACAAAGGCCCAGAGGAAATCACCAGGGGTTTTTCACCTACTTACGAGCCGTGGAGGTGAACCACCATACGTATAGATGTGAGAACCGGCTGAATCGCAAGACTTCAGGAATTGGTTTATGCAGTTTGAGACAGCCACTCTTGGTGTCATTTGCTGAAACAGAAAAACCTAGATTTACATGGGTTTATTTTCTTAACCTGGGTAATTAATCGATTGAGGCTAACTTTAAAAAAACTAGTTTTCTGCTTTTTCCTAGTGGATCCCACAATATTCTAGTCAACTCGAACTGGAATCAGTCAAACAAGTTTCGGACATCTATGACAGATAAGTAACATGTAATAAACCATCTTTTAGCGCCACATTTTTCAACCACACCCGTGGGATCACCACATCACTCACACGCCACAGTGGAGATCTCCGTTGAGGTCGGTGTGTTGGCTTCGGCAGTTCTCATGGAAGTCTTCAGTTGGTCCAAGAGGTGCGGCACTTCAGCGAAGATTTGGAGACCGACCTGGATTCGGGCAACTGTTTACTTTATGGATTTAACATATGGTATAATCAATAATAGTTGTTTACTGTTATATATATATATTATCATAGTAGTAATAGTAATAGTAGTAGCAATTGCAATAGTAATAGTAATAGTAGTGGTAATAATAACAATGAAAAATGAATCAGTATAGCTATCGTGAAGATATCATTGGGATTGTTACTGTACCGGGATTATTTTGTCGTGATATCTTGTGATACCGATGGAATGCAATGGGATTTCATTGGATGTTTAGCATCTATTTAATGGGATTACCGACCTTAACTTAAGGGCATATTCCGCAGTTGTACTGATATATATATATAATGGGATATATAACTATATCAATATGATGTGGATTTTTTTCATGACACTTATTGGTTGACTATAACAGTTGGTCTACTAAAAGTATGAAATCAGGGGATTTCAGAAATGATGTCAATCCTGGAGTATTCTGAGCCCTTAGGGTGTTTAATTGGGGGAGTACCCCCCTAATAAACCATGGTTTATTACCCTCTGGTTATTTAACAGTTTGCCATGGAAAGATCCACCATTTTTAAGAACGGTAAACCCAGGTAAAACCATCTATAAATGGGCCATCTATACCATGGCTATGTTAGTCATAACCAGATGGTAATCCGGGGTTGACATCAACCACCATCTGAGAATCCAAGGCTTGGCGTGCGTTTCAAGACTTTCAACATCTGGAGAGAAATTTCCCATGAAAAAATGGGCCATTTTTTTGGACCCTCTGGATGCCTTGACCGGAGGGTAATTTTTTGCATGATAGAATTGATGGTTGATTTCCCGGAGGCTTATTTTTTTGTGGGTAAACATTGTAGATTCCATTACTGGTGGGATATAATGATAATCTGGTTGGTGGTGACTGGAACATGAATGGATGATTTTTTCCATCATATTGGGAATGTCATAATCCCAACTGACGAACTCCATCATTTTTCAGAGGGGTGGCTCAACCACCAACCAGTAATATGAAAATGAGATGATATCATCGGATGTCTCGCACCCTCCAAAGGTCGAGAAGTTGAACACCTGGGACTGAAAACATCATCGAAGTGGGTGGTTGTTTGGGCACGTGAGTTGGTCACTTCTAATGGCAACTTTAGCTCCCTTTTACCTGGGGTGTTGGGAGCAACCTGTGAAGGGTAGATGTTCGAGGTTAGTAGGTCAATTATCATAAATCATCGAACTAAATGATCCATGGTTTCCATAGAAGAATGTTGGATTACTGGAGGGTAGTAAGGATTTCGTTTCTCAACCTTCATTGCCCATTGTTCGTAACCAACTCATGGGAAACGACATGGGCCGTAAAAAAAGGTGGATTTCATGTGGAAAAATCGTGGGGATTTTTCAGGGGATTTTGGACGGATTTGACCTACTCAGCTTGTTACATCTCCATCTCCGTCTCAGTCGGTGGGCCAGGTTCGAAGTCGGCCTCTTAGGGCTGCGCTCCCTTTGGCTGCTCCTGGCCCCTCGACATCGAAAGCGAAAGACTGCCCGGTTACAGTATTTTGGGACAGAAAAAACATGGGATTAATGTGGGTAAAACAAAAATAAACCATCCCCATTTTTCACCATAAATCGTAATATTAAACTATATTATTCAATCCCATTCAACAGCCATTACCCTCTGGTAAACATACAAAAAACTTATTGAAAATGGCCATTGAAATCGTTGATTTACCCATTAAACATGGTGATGTTCCATAGTTTTTTGTATGTTTACCAGAGGGTAACATGGATTAATATGGGAGCTATAACCATAGAAGGCATACCCACACGATGGAAGATAGATGGGATGGTCCAAATGTTTTACATCCTCGTTCGATGATGTGATCTTTCAACTTTTGGGCCCATGAATTTATCAGATATTTATCAACTTATCAAAAACATCATCTACCCTCTGGTAATTCTTTACATCCTAATTTTTTGATTTGCTTCTTAGATGCATTGCGATGGTCAAAAGACGACCAAGACGACCAAGTCTTCCTTTTGTCCTGAACCACTCCCGATTTAGCCTCAGAAAAGCAGTTGCATGGCAATTCTGTGCAATCACCCTTGAAATGGATGATTTGCAGCAACCTCCAAAAACACAGAATTTGGTAAATTCCCTCTAAAAACAGATCATAGGGGTAGCAGATCACTGGAATGTCTATCTTTTGGGGCTAATTCTTGTTTAAATCAATGTCGTTCAAGTGGTAAACTCTAGCCACCCATGTCTGATTTCTAGAGGGTATACTCACCGTTCCGTCTGATTTCCGCGTTTCTGAGGCTGTTTTGGCCACAGTGGACATGTCTATCCTCATCCCGGTGCCTGGGACCAAACACTAATCCATGGAACCTGGGAAAATTCTAGTTCTTTCAAATGCTCAGAATGAATAGAACCTTCTTTTTTTACTAACTAACTCATGTAACTACATAATCCTAGGTCAACGGGGTCATGGCAAGTAGGCTTGAGTGTGAGGTCCGGTCCCAATGGGATGATCCTTTGGGCCATTGAAATCGTTGATTTACCCAAAAATGGTGATGTTCCAGAGTCTTTTTGTATGTTTACCAGAGGGTAAATCCCATGAAACTGCCAATAAATCCCATGAAACTGCCATCAAATCCCATGAAACTGCCATTAAATCCCATAAAACAGCCATAAAACCAGCCAATCTCCTGGCCCTTTTTGACCCACGGGTGGTTTCGTGGCGTAGATCTCCTACGACATCGCGCAGCAGCTGGGCCACGGCGCGCTGGCGAGCGGCATTTTGGTGGCAGCATCGCAGGCGTCCCATCTGAATGACGACCCCAAAATGGGGGAACCATGAGAATTATGATATATCATGGGATTATATATGGTTATATTCTTACATTATGAGAAATTCAGATATTATATAGAATTCTCATATTATTCAATAATGATCATGGTTATAATATCATATTTTAATGGTAACCCATGATAACCCACTTTGAATATTATTGTTTTTTCAATCATGGCTCTTGATCATAATTGAGAATTATTGAATAGCCCATTGCCCATTGAATCACTTCTTCAGAATTCTCATATTATTCAATAATGGGATTTTGTATATACGTACATATATATATATATACATGGTTATATTCCGAAATGTTTTTTTGATTCAGATATTCTGACCTTCTGACAACGTAATATAATGATCAAGAACCATTAATATGTATTTATCTACATAGTTTTGTTCAACACTGAGATTATCAATGGGATAATGGCTATGCATGGGATGATGATGATGATGATGATGATGATGATGAAACTATGGAACATCACCAGTTTCAATGGGATTTCAACCAACTTTCTATGGCCATGGCTTCAGTAGCTTTTTGTAAGTTTACTAGAGGGTAATGATGATAATTATATATGTATAGTTATAATGTCTGGGCCAACCCTTGTTACCCATTAACGATACATTAATGAATATCTACCATGAAGCCACCGTAACGTTGGCTAAGAACCTGGGGCATGACCTTGATCATGATCTGTTCATGAAAAAAAACATAATTTTTAGGATCCATCACTTCAAATCATCCATTTGTTCCATAGAAATCAACCAATTAATGACTACAATTCATAGAAATCAACCAATTAATGACTACAATTCACAGAAATCAACCATTAGTGGCTACAATTCAACGGTTTCATCCATTTATTCTGAGGACTCAACGATTCACGCTAGGCGTTTCAGCCCGTGCTGGCGCTGGTGTCGCGCTGGCTGGTGATTGGGAAGAGCTATCAGTACCAGCGACGCTTCATGCTGTGTTGCTTCGGTGCCTAGGTTCGAAGTTCAGGATCCTGAAATTGATGGTTGATGCCCTCAGTGGTCCCTATAGTTAGCTAAGTTGCTCTAATTCCAATAAATAGACTTCGTGGTAGATATAGATAGTTAGTTACTATGGTTTATAAACCAACTTATAACTGGGGGGGGCAACACCTTGTGAATGTTGATGAGGATTCTTATCATGTTTGTTATCAAGCATCATTGTTGTCAAGTACTGTTAACTTGTTGCAACTAATTATTGTTCTGGGCAAATTATAACGACCTCACTGTTCTCCCTCACTGGAATCATGGTTAGATTGTGGGGAATCATCCCAAAATGGCCGAACTTTTCAGGTTAGTGAATTATTATAGGTTGCCCATGTGAATTGATGATGGTTCTTATCATGTTTATTATCATCAACCATCATTGTTGTCAAATACTGTTAACTATTGTATATAACTATTGTTCTGGGCAAATTATAGTGACCTCACTGTTCTCCCTCACTGGAATCATGGTTAGATTGCGGGAAATCATCCCCAAATGGCCTTAAAATTCAGATGAGTGAAATATTGTAATTTACTTGTTGATAAATCTGACCATTTTTGATAACAGTTGTAGGTACATTTTCTCACTAACGTCGCGACCGAAGCCTGGAATGTTGGTGAATGTTTAGGGAAATCATCCGCACCATTGTTTTTTTTTTTTAACAGATTTTGGCCATGTAAATTCTGGGGATATTCCATGTTTTTTTTTTTTTTTTCGGCCTTATCTTTTGGAAAACTGCAGATTCGCATTCTTGGTTTCGGGAAGAGTCAGATGACCTCGTCATTTACGATGAGTTTAGTGAGGACATATCCTCACTGTCCGTCCTGTGATTAATTTGGGATGCAGGATCCTAAGACCTAAGATTGGTGGATGGTGATGGGAAGATGATCCAAGTATACCCGGCCTGGTAAACTAACAGTTTGCGAACTGGCAAGATCCATCATTTTTCATGGGAAAATCCACTATTTCTATGGTCATTTTCAATAGCTATGTTAAATTACCAGAGGGTATATAGATGCATGCTGGATGATTCTGATTCTTGTTGGTGATGTTGGTGAATGTCCCCAGAGCTAGGCGGTAAAAAAAAAACCGACTGTATCATCATTCAGTGCATGGTAGTACAGTACATCCTTAGTGAGCCTATGGGCCTATGGGCCCTAATTTTCTTGCTCAAATTGGTGGGTTTGAACCTCGACACTGTCGGTGATCCCCAGTGTTTTTTTTTCGTTCACTGTGCATTTGGACAGGCAAAAACTCCCAATCGGAAAAAGAGGCAGGTGGTCTTTTCAACTATTCTTCATGTCCATCCTATAACACCAAGTCTTATTTTCCAGATGACCATGATAGCTATTGATACATATTGGTACTATTGATACATATTGGTACTATTAATATCATTAAAATATCAATATTGGTGCTACACATTGGTACTATTAATATCATTAATAGCTATTAATATATATTGGTGGTTAAGTATTAATATCATTAAAATATCAATGGACAAGGAACGCTCATGGCGGAGTTTTTCGGCGACAAACAGACAGTCCGATGCTCTTTGGAATGATCCCGCAGTGATTGAAACATCCACGTGCTACATTCGCTCTGTTGTGATATTTTAATCCATTCAAATCCCCATTTGGATAGGGGATTTTGATATTCAGTCCTACTATTTTGAATGGATCAAAATAGTAGTCTACATTATTTTGATATTCAGTCCTACTATTTTGATCATAGATGTCCCAAATTCCCACTGGTTGGTCGATTAATAGAGGGGTTAGTTTACCCCTTTAACGACAGGTTTCTATGATGATAGATGGTATACCGGACCGGCCCCTCTATTTTTACCAAAAGGACATTATTGATTTTGATGGTTTACCCATGATTTTCAGGCTTGAAACCCCATGAAGTTTCCGAAGATATTCTGATGATTTACGTGACGTTAGTTGGTTGAACTTCACCCCATCAACTAGTTCGATACTTCTACATTCTACCGTAAACTATAGAATTCACCTTAAACATTCAACACCCAAAAAGATGCCGAACATGTGGGGAAACCTGGAAATACGAAATCAATATGATAATGTATTTTTTCTCCCATTTTGGTGACTTAATTCGGCATCTTTTTGGGGTTTGAGAAACAGAGTGAGAAACCAAGTAATCATAGAAACCACCTATAGTTATAGATCAACTAGTTCGATATATCTACCAGTAGTACCCATAGAATTCACATATAGTTCTAGATTATAACTATATATAATATATACACACCATACATCATCGAATTCACCTATAGTTATTAGATAATCTATAAATACCTATAGATAATCTATAGGTGAATTCTAGTGATATTAAAGTTGGGCTAGCTTCACCCCATTAACTAGTTCGATATATCTACCATACACCATACTTAATCTATAGACCTAAAGTTATAGTTATAGTTATTGAAAGTTACATATATATATATATACACAGTAATCATATAATCTATAGATAGCTAGTTACAATGCAACTATAGTTATTATATCTATAATATCAACTATCAAATAGCTATAAACCAACCATAGCTATTTTCTAAGATCTATAAACCAACTATTATAAACCAACTATATAGTTATATATATATAGACCTATATAGGTGACCAAACCAAAGTCCATGTCTTGTCGAGTTTGGGAGGTGCTGAAGCGGTCCTCACGTGGCTCATGGTGCCGGTCTTTGAGGCCTGCAACCACTGGTCCAATCACACGGTGCCCGCGGGTTCTGACGGGGATCGGAGTGACGGGGACGGTGTTTTCGTTGGGATGATCCGAGCGCAGAGGTTCTGAGGTTCTTGGGATTTGAGTGAGGTTTCATGTGATTTCATAGGGATTTTCATGAGATGTCCATGGGGATTGTTTATGGAGTTTTCTGAAACTCGAGATCGGGATTTGATGTTTTTTTCTGCTAGATGTAATGGAATTTTATGGGATTATCATGGGATAACAATGAATCTCAATGGGATTTCACCAACCAAAATGAGTGTAATGGGTGTTACACCAACCAGAATTGGATAAGTATAATTATTTCTTATACATAACTTTATACAACGGGCAATGTGGCTAATGGTATTTGGATAGATTATGTGGAGCTGCGCATACCACCAGGCATGCAACTGACAAGAAGTTGGAAAAGAGCCTTGAAAGAAGTATCAGTGGGATTCACAAAGACAAGACAGTGGCGGAAGGAACGGCAAAGGCCGTTGCAGTTTTGATATTGCATGACAGCCAACAACACGGCAAAGGTCTACAGTCTCACGCGATTAGGCTGTGGATCACAAACTTCGGGAAAAGGATAGATTATAAAGACCTCACGTCGGGATGCTACTGGAATCATGGGAATTGGATTGGGGTAATGTGGGATGATCATTTCTCCAGATCCAGATCGCACAAGCCTTGCTCCGTTCGTGATCCTTAAATCTGAAGTGCAAAGATTTTACTGGTGATGGTAAGTCGCTGATTTCAGGGATTTCATTATCTGTTCAGTTTCGCTCTGGCGAACATCGAAAAACAACCACGATAACTTTTTTTCCCCAAAAAAAGCCAATCTTTGATGTTTTGGTCGACCATCATTTGTTTTTGGGTGGCTCAACCAACAAGATAACTTTATCCCAAGTCTTGCCAATCGTTGGAGGTCGACTCCCTGATGTCTTGGCAAACCTCGAAGGAAGGGCCCCCTAGGTGGGTGTAGAACAAAAAAAAGAAAATGGTTCGATGCTGGATATGTCTACAGATGGGGTTATGATATTTGTGTATACATATACATAACTATAGAATATTATAGATAGTTAAGCATTACATATATCCAGTAAATCCACCATAAACCACATTTAACCTAGTTATAAGTTATAAGCCAACATTCGCAGCATGGCGCAGCACCTGACAGGTACTCTACGCCTTAGTCTTCTTACGCGCCATGACGGGCGGCGTGCCGTGGTAGCGATGATGATTTTGGGGTAGCAATGGAAGAGTCTGGATGAACCAAGGTATGTACATGTGGATACTCTTATTATATACTGGTTGGTGGTTTGGAACATTTGGATTATATTTTTCCATATATTGGGAATGTCATCATCCCAACTGACGAACTTCATCATTTGTCAGAGGGGTAGGTATACCAGCAACCAGATAAGCACTATGAATATATCAACCTGATAGATTCAGCGGCTGGATACTTGATATGATCAAATGGATACAGAAGATATCCCGACATGTACAAACAGTTTCACCTGGATTGATAGTTGAATGATAGTCTGATTATGTAATTTCACTTTGACTGACTATAATATCGCTAATGGCATAGCTTTATACAACATGATGTGACATATATTGAACTATATATAATTTATAAAACATGACAATATCATTCAATATCATAAGATTTCATCAAGTTATCTAGTTTATCTTCATGTTCCTTTGTCGTTGCTTGTCTCAACGGCTTCGTGTTGTTCACATATCTCCGCGAGGTCCTCATGCTTTACGGCGTGCCATTGAGCACCTGTGTGGCTTGGGGGCGACAACCGTTGATGGGGAAAATCGATGAGTACATCGTGGTGAAAATCCTATGAAACATGGATGAAACATGGATGAAAAACCACAGGTTAGGAAACCTCCATATGATGTATGTATTAGATGTATATATATATATATATGCACATAGAAAGATATAATTAGGAAATCAACATAAAATAACAATATTATCCCATGAACTATAAACAACTTAGAGTTGAACATGAACAATTGGAGTTGATTCTATAAGAAAAATGTCTAAAACGGTGTGTCTGAAAGGTTTGGGTATACCCAAGAGTTGCACGGCGACCTTCAAACCTCAAGATGATGATGAATCTGTGGATGTCGGGAGACCATATTTTCATATAAACACATGTAATGTCATGATTTATTTACCTCCAGTAAATTAACATAGACCCTGGCAGACAGGGGTTGGAAGACTAGTTTCCACTATAAATTGGTGATTTTCAGGGTCTATGTTAATTTACCAGAGGGTAAGGGGAACTTATGTGCATAGATATGGATGATCTGGCGATGTTCTTGATGGATCAGTGAGCCGATTGAGCATAGTTTTGATGCTGAAAATATGAGGATTATGAGGCCTCTGGAGATAAATCACGGGGAGAAGAAGATAAGAAACACTAAATGAAAATGGGGTACAGCTACTCTCCTTTAACGCAGATGTGGAAATCACACGATAATTTTCCCAGGGAAACCCATGGCGTTTTCCACATTGATGTCAGTTTACCCCAGGCTAGATCCTATGGTTCATCGTCCATCGCTCGTCCTTCCGTTCGACCACCTGTTGGCCAGTCAGTCTTCTGAGGATCAAATTTTCGGCCGAGGTTGTGCATGTGTGCCGAATTTCCCAGAGGTAGCAGTGATTTGCAGTCGCGAGGAGGAAGCGGCCATGAAGGCCAGAGGCTTGGCCATCTGCCACATTGCAGATGGCAACTGCCTTTTCCGTGCGCAACCAAAGAGGCTTGAACGGCTTGCGCATTGGCGCAGTAGGACAGCAAGGCTTGAACACCACCCAATTTGGTGCCACCTTCCCATACCATATGCCTTTGTGCCGACGTCACATCAGACACAAAAGATTCGATCAAAACACGAAAACTCTTTGACTGAGCCATGGTTGTGTTTGGTAACCATGCTGGTCTGGTGACGTGGGACATGTGCTTATGTAGTGCAGGACATGTGCTTGTGTAGCTGCCGAATATCCCCTTTGAGGTAGCAATGATCATGAAAGGTGATTTCATGCTGCAATCTTCGGGATTGTCTGGGTTTAGACCTATTATTGACGGCTATTATAGCTATAACATGCTATAACCATAGATCATCATCACTTTTGGTTAACTACAACTATATGGCCATTATAACTATATAAATAACACTAGTCACTAGTCTATAGGTTAACTGTGGGGTCTATTTGCGAATCTCCACCATTTTTCACCCAAACCATCCAATGGTCCAATATTCAATATTCAGATGTTCAATCAAAAACTAGAGTGAGTTTTTCATGACACACATCAACCTACCCACCCATCCCACCGTTTTTCTTCACATCTCCGGTGTTTTTCCACCGGGGCACAACGCAGCTGTCGTTACTTGCGCAGGTCTATGACAGTTCTCCCTTAGAGGATCGATCGCAGCTGTCGATCAAGTTTTACCTCTGCCTTTCCATCGGCGTCTGCGTGGGGCCTTTCGTGAGCCACCCGGTGGCAACAAAGGGGGCGCGAAGTCATGACGCGAATGGTAGGGCCCCACATTCAAATCTATGAATGTCTGCTATTAGTAGTAAGTGTCTACATATATGATATGTAAATATATAATGATATATATATAAATACGTATATATATATACACATATAATTATACATATACATATATGTACTGTATATATATATATATGGGTTTCGCAAAACGGGGCATGTATTTCGATACTGAAGTGGTTTAATCTTGGATGATTTGGGATACCATCATTTTAGAACACCTCCATATATATCCCAGAAGTCTGATTCTAATATTGGAGTAGTGATACATATTATCATATTTCCCATGCTTTGATGATCTTTGCGTATCAACTAAGGGGTTAAAAATAGACACCTTTTATCGTGTAAGCTGAGCTCCTGGAAACTCAAAGTGATGTGGAAAGGCCACCATTTGCAGATCATTTTCCAATCGGGAAGCCCCTGTCGTTTTTCACATCTAAACTGGGAGCAGTGAACACCCTGGAGGGGGATAAAAACCGCTACATGTATCAAAAAATATACCCATTCATATTCCCATTAGATCACCATTCGTGATAGTTTTCCCATTCATAATTCCATTAGATCACCATTCATGGTTTTCCCATTCATATTCCCATTCATATTTCCATGAAATCATGTTTTTTCTATTCAAAACCAATTTCTATCGGATTTTCCCATCATGTTTCCCATCAAACGCCAGGATTTCTAGTGGTTTTCCCCATGATGTTCCATAATTTTTCCCATGATTTCCCATGAAAATCCTCCATTTCTAGTGGTTTTCCCATGTTTTTTTCCCATAATTTCCATCATGTTCCCATGATTTTCCCATAGTTTGGACCTCCCAGGGGCACTTCCTCGCGTTTTTGTAGGTAGTATCATGCTGACCCTTCACCAGGGCGGTGCCCATGACTCCTGTGGCTCGGTTTTGAAGCAAAAAACATGGATGACTGGTCGGTGGTTGGTGGCTTCTAATAGACTATATCATTATTAAAAATTATATGATATGATGTGATATGATATTATACTACATTATATCATATATATATGATATATGTATATATATATATACATTATTTTTTCTATATTATATATCTATATAATATGTCTATGGATCTAGACAGTTATAGAATATATATATATATATTATACATATGATATGATATGATGTGATGTGATATGATTATGCTATGATTATGATATGCTATGATTATGGTATGACATGACATGACATGACATGATATGACATGACATGACATATACAATATAATATTAAATATATTATAATATGATATGACATGATATGATATAATATAATATAGTGTATCTATATTATACATCTATAATATATATATATAGTATCTATTTAATATATATATATATAATATATCTATAATTAATATATATAGATCTAGACAGTTATATGATATGTATTATATATTAATTATATATACCAGTAGATATAGGGATATAGAGTCATGTATAAATTACTTTATAGATATAGATGTCTTGTTTTCCCTGGATTTGGCTCATTTTCCTCCACCTCCACCACGGAGCTTGGAACTTTTCACTCTATCTTGCTTGGCCGAAGATGCGCCTGCAGCGAAAGACTGTGGCATGTTTAGAATGACAAACTTTTTCGCGCACTTCGACACGACCAACCAAGTTTACTTCAGGTTATTTGTCGGCTATTCTGAAGTTTATGCTTTACACAGTTTTAAGCATGTCATTTCTCATGATTTCTCATGTTTGGTTCTAAACCCCCGTACGGGTAGGGGTCAACATCTTCTCCTTCACACCCAGAACTTGGCATCCCTGGGAATTTTTGGAGTAATTCCATCCCCCTGAAAAAAACATGCAATACCCATCAAGAAATGGATCCCCAATTCATAAACACAACTTCAATACTAAACTGGAGTTTGAGCGAAATATTTTTTACTGGATGAGATGACAGTATCAAAACATGACAAAAAAAATGAGATCCACTTTGAAGCTTCGCAGTTCACCATGACTTTCCTGTTCAACTTGGACATTTCCCCCCAAAGTTGATCCTAGGTCCTAGCTTGGATGTGCTTCCCAACTAATCGTAGCTGGTAAAGAAAACAATCCGCAAGTACACTTTGATGTACGTGTTTGTATACATACATATATCATTCAAATACATCCGTATAATATCGTATGATATGGATCCAAGTACCGAATCTGAGGGAGTATTTGAGGTATGATTTTTCAGGACACTAACTACCTTCGGAAAGAGCTCGATCCATCGGGTATTTGACTTGGCTTCCCAGTTATGAGTTGTTCTCCACGCCCATCCAACTGCCGCTGCCATAAACCTATATCAGCTATAAACGAAGCCAGCGATTCCGAACTGGGCACCATTTATGATAGGTCCCTATTGCTGATGCTTATATCAGTTCATATCAGTTCTAATCAGTTACATCCCTGTAAAATCACAATTTTTGGAAAATCACCATTTTTGCAGGTAAATTCATCCTACTCATGCCATTTTATCCTCCTGCAAACTAACAGTTCGATGTGGAAAACCGGTTTCCCCCTGGGTTCTCCACATTGTTTTGTTAACGTTTACCCCAGGGTATCTCCCAATAATTGGATGATTTTTTCCATTCAAAACTCATTTCTATAGGATTTTCCCATGATTTTCCCATCAAAGGCCACCATTTCTAGTGGTTTTCCCATGTTTTTCCCATATTTTTCCCAAATTGTCCTATGATTTTCCCTCCATTTCTGGTTGTCTGAAACGGGATGCATGCGGGAAACGAGGCTACACGGGTCGGCAAAGCATCTCTGTGCTGGGCTTCGTTTGGGCTGTTGCAGCTTCGCCGAGATTGCACCCATCGAAACATGGGGAAAAATAGGGATTTCACATGATTTAACTATGAAACATGGGGGATTGAACTGTGCAAACACAGGGATTTAACTATGCAAACATAGGGATTTAAGTATGAAAAGCATAGGTATTTTATCTATGAACAACAGTGATAGCTAATATAACCATGGGAAGGATAGGAATATCACCATGAAACATAGGATATAACCTCATTAAACTAAGTTTACGTTAGCAAGCTGAAAAAACAGATGTGTGCATTCTTGGTGTTTCTTCAACAAGATCATTGTGTTTGTTGTTGGCATCTTTTTCTGACATATACCCTCTGGTAAACTAACATAACTATGGTAAATCAACATTTTTAATGAGAAAACTCACTATAATTGGCCATTTTCAATAGCAAACTGTTAGTTTACCAGAGGGTACATCATCTAAAATCTAAAATATTGTTTGACATAATTTCGCACGATTCAGGACCCATTTCAAAGATGTGTTGTCTTGCCGCCACTTATGAACCATTGATTCCTCCCAGAGCTTTGTCTACTGGTTGATGAAAGGGGATTCCAATTCCGGGTTTTGATAGCTTGAATTAAGCCCGATGAACTCACGATGGTAGTAATTACAGCATGTGCAACCATATATACCACCTTTGAAACTAATTTCTAGCCACAAGTAGAAAGAAATTCCCAGGTTGCCCTCCTGCATTTGGTGCGCCCAGAAGTGTGGAATTCTCTAGCCACTTCCCAACTCGGATCTTCCTTGGAAAGGCCGCTGGAAGGGTTTCCCATGTTCTTCAACGAAATCTTTCCCACTTCACAACACCATTGGGGATTTCCATAAATGGTGGATCCCCAAAATAGTTGGTTCATAATGGAAAATCCTATTACTATATACAAAACGGATGATTTTGGGAAACCTCCAATTATGCACACTTCTTCAAATTTGTTTTAAAGATGCATGTGATCAAATTTCGCATTGCTGCCCCAAACAATTCAACCCCCGCAAACGAAACCCTGGAGGCATGTGTTGGATCTATTCATCAATTTTGGCCCACGAATTGGGGGTTATCGAACATTGCGGGGAAGGGAGTACAACCCCATTTTTGATAGTTAGGCCAGCCAAGTCTTTATTGTCGATGGTTATATCCCATTACATCACTGGTTGGTGGTTTGGAACTTTTTTTATTTTTCCATATATATTGGGAATGTCATCATCCCAACTGACTTTCACTCCATCATTTTTCAGAGGGGTGGCTTTTCAAACCACCAACCAGATCATTTCTTACATCCCAAAATGCCAAAATGCCCCCATTTTTGCCGCTGATTTTTGCAGCGCCAAATCTCAATGGCTTAGGTTTTTTGGGGAAAATCTTAACCGGAAACCCTTCGATTTTCCCATTAAGATCATGGGGTTTTCCGGTAATTTTTCCAACCAATCCATTGAAAATCCGTTGTCAACTCACCAGTGAAAGCAGCGCCAAATCTGCCACAGTTTTTCTGGGTGAGCCAGCGAGGTGGCGGTGCTGGCCACGACCTTTCTGCCCTACGACCTGGAAGACAAGAAGCCCCTGGTGGAAACTCCTGAGGAGGTCCGGTGGTTTTTCACGGTCACCAGAAATGGTGGTATCAGCACGTTTTCCATACTATATCACTTATATAATCTTATATATATATATGTATATATATATATCCCCTCTGGTTATGACTCACATGGCGAACTGGAAAATGACCCATAGAAATAGATGGATGTACCTATTAAAAGGGATGATTTTGTTCAGTTCGCTATGTTAAATAACCAAAGGGTACAAGGTGGTGCGCCCCCAGTTATAAGTTGGTTTATAATCCCACTAACTATAGATATATCTACCATAAGTCCTAGTTATTGGAGTAGGTCAAACTTGTATCCCACTAATGGGATGGTCAATCCACACAAAGTTCATCCAAATAATATTGTCTGAACCAACTCACGATGCATGGAGTGATGCTCTCTCTGAGTGTCACCAATGATATATATATATATGTAATTGATATATAATTAATGATAGTAGCCATATATATATATATACATATATATATATATACATATATATACATATATATATATATACATATATATATATATATACATATATATATATATACACATACATACATATATATATATATGCTTTAATCATCTATAACTGTATTACTATCATTATATATATATATTGATCTGTAACTATTGGTTAAACTGTATATCATCGTGCAAAATTATATATCACATCCACCAAAACGATGAACTCATGAACTATAGTAGCTATACAATGTATGTACCACCAATAGTGACTCCCATTATATACATATATAGTATACATCCCCTTATCACGCCATCAACGCGTGGGTTATCCCATACTTCTCCGGATAGGTCAGAACTTGCAACTGTGGTCACTGTAGGTTATCCCCAAAAAGATGCCGAAAAGGAACACGAAAAATCGCGTTCTTTGACCGACATCTGGCCCTTTTCCGTCTCTGACTTTTGGGGGTTCATCAATGATTAATCCATTGAAATCCGATTTTCTCCAGCGATTTTGCAGCCTTGCCCTACATTCTGCTTGGGCTTGATGTGGAGTTCAGTTCGCCAACGACGACATCAACGTACGGTGTCAAGGCTCATCTGGAGCGGACTGTTTCCTGCCTTGGTGGCCGACCGGCCGACCCGTGGGATGAGCAGCTTCGTGCATTGGAAATGCGAGTGGTCGATGCGGCAGATATTTACTGTATATCCCGACATTGTTGGTGATTCAAAGCCCATGATGTTTCCACTGAAAACGCAGCAAACCACCATTCGGGATGACTATGGCAACTTCTGATTGTACTTCCCAGCATTTCCCAACCTAAGGACTTGAAGATTAAGTATATAGTATATATATAACTAAGGACTAAGATTCCTCACCTGAATTATCTTAACATGTCCTGCGTCAATCTAGGGAACTCAGGACTAACATTCCAAAATTGTGATATATATATATATATTCCTATAGGTAATAAAACATCTACCCTTTGGCTATTTAACATAGCCATAGAAAATCATCACCTTTTAATAGGTACATGATCTATTTCTATGGGTCATTTTCCAGTTCGCTATGTTAGTCATAACCAGAGGCTATATATATATAAGTTAGTATAGTATGGAAAACGTGGTGATACCACCATTTCTGGTGACCACCATTTCCTATATCGGTAATAAAACATCTACAAGGTGGTGACCCCCCCAGTTATAAATTGGTTATAAGCCCATTAACTATAGATATATCCCCCTATAAACCATAGTTATTGGAGTTATAAACCAACTTAGCTAACTATGGGGCACCACCTTGTAGGTAATAACCACACATACATGTATAACACCATACATTGACCCCTAAAGTAATTTAAAATAATCCCAATGTAGGTAAATATTCCATACATGGATCCTTAGGGTATAGGTAATAAAACATCTATATCCTTGAAGATTCCCAAGACTTGGGACATCGCCGTAGCTTCCGCAGGCCGCTGAGAGCGCACAGGCGCTGAGTCTGGCACAGGCTGTGCAGCGGATCCCCACGCGCGTGCGCGAAGCGCTGGTGTGGGCCGCGGTCTTGCCGCTGAGCTCTCAATGGCGGGGCAGGTGCTGGGGGAAAGCTAAGTGGAAGAATGGGAAGTTGACAGATATATATATATACTGTATATATATATGTGGAGATAATCAGGTTTATTACAAAAGATCACATAGTTGAACATAACTTCATTCTTTTGGCAACTTTGATGGGAAACTTGTCTTAACATATATCTGAACACCATACTTAAACACTATATTACATTCTATTACCATATCTCTTAACATATATATGTAACCCCCCAATATTTTTCAAAACGTACATGGTTCTAACAAAAACTGTTACCCCAACTATAAGTTTGACCAGCAGTTTGGGCAGCAAAAATCTCTTCACCGCTTTCGGTGGCTTTGCCCGAGGTTCTCGGCGGAGAGATCCTTCTCCATTGGAGCCATCGAAGTGGCCACCGCGTTGCTATTGGAGGTGCCCAGGGATGCTCTGCTTGGGATCCATCGGATGAGTTGGTGCGCTACCCCCAGGACTGGACATGAAGCCCAAACAACGGCTGTTTTATTGGGAGGCTACCACCAGACTAAGGGTTTATTAATCCAGGGTTGACATTATATGTGGTTGGTTGATGTTGGTAGTTCTTCTACTTTTATGGATGAAATGACTAAATGACTATTGGAGGAGTAGCCCCTAAAAAAAATAAAGCATGGTTTAGCAAAATCCGGGGTTGACATTAGTGATTTTAGCTGGGAGACTTGGGAGACTTGGCGGTCAAGTCATGGTGTGCAAAATGTATGAACATCCCAGGAACATCCAGGCTGCAACAAGACAGGGTGCAGTACTGCAGCTGGAGCTACACCAAGGAAAATCGGTCATAACATACATGGTGATATGGCTGATGGAGGTAACATGAGGTAACGCTGGTTTATAATCCATTACGATCCCTTTCCCTTTCCCCTAGTGTGAAAATGTAGGATTTCGACCCCCCCCTGGCAGCCTGGTGGAATGCATTGCTATTTTAAAATGGTCATGGGAGTTGGACCCAGTCCTGGAAGAGGACGGTCATCAATCCATTCTGATATAGATTTACCATCAGGTCATTTAACATAGCTATCGAAAATCCATGAAAATCCATTATAAATGGAGGTCTCTAGCTGGACAAATCATCTGTAAATGGGCAATTTTCCAGTTCGCTATGTTAGTCATAACCAGAGGGTATATATCCACTACGTCACCTTTTGTGAGGGATGAATCTCAGTGGACCTCTACGGGATGGGTAGAAATCACGACGAAGGAAATGATGTCAGCCGCACCATCCTAGAGTTTATGCACATCAATCATCAATGGACCATGATTTTCCATAAATTCTCCATAGCTATGTGATTTGTTTTCCATCAGAAAACTCCCAACTGTCGCAGCTCCTTCCATGGCTTAGCGGCGCCATGCGGCGCCCAGCCCCCTGTGAGGTGGAATACAGCTGGACGCCGGAGCAAATTGGCTATGTCCCTCGACCATTTTTTTCGAGACGGGAGATGGGATCTATGGCGACATATTGTTTTTTTTTCTCTCTCTCTATAGATTATATAAGATTATATATAAAATTATATAAGTCAGTATAGTAAATAGATAAATAAAATACATAAAATAATATATATATATATATATATGTACAACATATCATAGGCATTCATAGAAGTTTTTAAAGGTGTATTTTGGCGTTGAAGGTCTCCCTGTGTTTGGGTAAATGAAGAGCATTGATGCAATAGAACAAAGTACAAGAATTCAGGGTTCTGTTCCGTTATACAAAGTTGTGTTTCCTGGTGGGATTTTTGTGCCTGGGCACAATATCAAACCATGCTTTTTTGTCAGTAAATGCATGACTGAAACTCACACATCCAGACTTGGTGCAGTTCCAGTAGTGGATAATGGATGACCATACGACCAGGACGGGAGTATGTCCCACCGTATTTGGGTGATCACCATATAGAAAGGTACCCGTTTTAATGACGCCCCAAGTATATCCAGAAAATATTTCGATACATTCCCCAAGGAAAAAAATGGGTGTTCTTCGTTCAGTCAGATTGGAGGCCACAACTTTTGGATACTTTTGGTGTGTGTGCGCGAACTTTCTAATCATCAATCATCTATAAATGGACCATCATTTTCCATAATTGTCCATAGCTATGTGAAATTTTCCCATCAGAAAACTCCCAACCAGCTGCTCCTTCCGTGGCTTAGCCCACCCCAATCTTCTCAGGATCTTGTCATAGCCACAAGAAGCCCAAAAATCAACGAAGGAGCCCATCCCTATCTTCATTGGATTGGTTTAAGGGAAAATCTACAGGAAACCATGGTTTTTACCATTAAATATAGGGGTTTCCTGTAAATTTTCCCTTAGACCAATCCAATGATATCTGGATTTGCTCTGAACTTCTGGAGGGTTTTGGATTAATCGATGGGTGACTCACCAAACACAGCTTGGATACAGACATATCAGACATATCATATACAGACTATACAGACTATTGTTGAATATCAGCCATAACACTATGGCTTCATATCCAGAATTTGGATATATTTGGATTTTCCCACTGGATTTCATGGGATACATCCAATAAAAATCACAATTTTCTGACCGTGACCCACCGGGCGATTCCAGCAAGATTTCAGGTGTTGACGGGGATCTTTCTGATTACCGCCTTTGTGGGTGCCTTCATATGGCTGCTTAGGAAACAGGTGCGTAGTTTCAGGGGGGCTGGGTGAAGCTGTGCTTAGTCGCTTAGTCGGTTAGTCACTGGCTACATGTTGTAGAATTATTCTAGGATCTCTTCAAATTGTGTCTATGGGAAAGCCTGGCCATAAACCTACCATGACTGGAGATGGTTGCGATCCCACCCAGTGGCAGCCATGGTGATGGAATGGGGATGCAGATGGCAGCCATGATCAGGAGAGTCATCCCATCCATTCCCATCCCATCCTATCCGATAGGTTAAATCTAGGGTAAAATAGACCCATTGCTTGTCGGTTAGACCGTGAGACCCCGAGTTTTTTCATGATTTTAACCCTGGAATTTTGAGAAAATCACGAGTCTTGAAGGTGAAACCACTAGTTTTCAGTCTAAGTCGTAAGTTAGTAAGTCAACGTTGGGCGGTCATCGGTTATCCAGTCAATGGCCAAAGACGCTGGGGTCCCAGTTATAAGTTGTCTTATAAACCCCTTCTGACTAACCCAAGTGATCCCTAGTGAATCTAGTACCACCAACTTTGCGGATTTCGAATTGGGGCACCATGAAAATGCTAAAATGACCGTATTGTTATGTATTGTTGATGGTTAAACCTCCAGTCTTGGCTGGTGATACTTCTCTTTTTGAGGGGCACATCCCCATAATCACCATTCTTGAGGCTCACATCATGTTAAATCACGATTTTCCATCATTCACGCTGCTTAAATCACTCTTTTTGATGGTGAAATCCCGATTTTTCCATGGTCCGAGCATGATTTGGGATGGTGAATTCATGTGATTTTGACATGTTTTGACATGTTTTGACATGTTTTGACATGTTTTGACACGTTTGGACACGTTTGGACATGTTTGGACACGTTTGGACATGTTTGGACATGTCAAATCATGTCAAATCATGTCAAATCATGTCAAATCATGTCAAATCATGTCAAATCATGTCAAATCATGTCAAATCATGTCAAATCATGTCAAATCATGTCAAATCATGTCAAATCATGTCAAATCATGTCAAATCATGTCATGACATTCATAGAATTGGATTATGGGAAAATTTACAGGAAAACCCTATATTTGATGGTAAAAACCATGGTTTCCGGTAGATTTTCCCAACAAAACCAATCCAGTGAGACATGTCAAATGACCAGGTCTCCGATTTCGTGCTGATGATGGGCATGGCTATGATCAGCATCAGCGGCGCGGTGCTCTTCGTGGACTTCGGCGGCTCCACCGGAGGCCACAGCAGTCCCTGGCTGCTGATGCTGGCGGATGTCACCGTGTACAGCTGCATGTTTCAGTGCCTTGGAAGCCGGGGGTTGGTTTAACATGGTTTAACACCAGGAAAAATGGAGGATTTTTCGTCACCACCAGGAAAAATATGCAAAAATGGAGGATTTTTCGTCACCACCAGGAAAAATATGGAAAAAATGGAGGATTTTTCGGAGGAAAACTCCCAGAGGTTTTACGAAGTCATCCATGACATGCCATGATGATGATTTGGGGGACCCCATGACTTAGGAAAGCTATATGGAAATGGTGGGTTTTTCGCCCGGTACCACGAAAAAAGACCATGGATTGAATTGGGAAACATCATCAAACATGGTAACCTGTTGGAGGTGATAGTCGGGAGCAAAAGTTGGGCGCATTGCCCATATTGGGGGATGGTCATCAAACCATTCAATTTTTCGCATTACAAGGGTCACCAGTATGGGATCTATGACCAAACCACATATTTACTCATGTACAAACCTTGACCTTGGCACGTATGATTTTCACAAGTTCTTGCCCCACTGTATCTGGGGTGTCCCTTGCTGGGTGTGTCTTGAATACATTGGGGGGTACCCCCTCGACTGGCAATTTGAACATGAGGAATCCCAGAACGGCTCCGTCATCGTTTCCGTGGACACCTTCCCCTAAACTGTTTTAAACATCCCTTAAAAAATAGACGATATGTGTGTAATTGTGTACAGAGCTATATTGTGTATCTATAATTGTGTATAATTGTGTATAGAGCTATAATGTCTATAATTGAATATTGATTTAAGAGATGTTATAGTTGGTATTGGTATAGCTCTATACTACTAACTGTATATAAATAGCTATATGCTATAATAATGTATAATAAGATATACAGTTAGTAGTTGCTATAGAGCTTTCAGCCAACGTTACCAGAACTGACCAGAACGGCTTCGATGTCTACCATTCCGGAACGGTTACGGAACGGTTAGCCGAGTGAAATAGCCGATGACGGGTGAACATAGCTATTGAAAATGGCCCATTTATAGTGGATTTACCCATTGAACATGGTGATTTTCCATAGTTATGTTAGTTTACCAGAGGGTATATATATATATATTTGTTATGTTCACCACTTCTTATATAACTAAGGACTACTAAGGACTTGAAGATTACGTAGAAAACCAAGGACTAATTCCATTTCCTAAGTTCTATATACTTGAAGATTCCTAAGGGTTGGAAATATACTTAATCCTTAGTTATTAACTTAATCATAGATAATACTGCTACATTGGTTATGTATACCGTTAAGTATTCATTAAGTATCCATTAAACTGCATCCATTGACTATGCCTATTCTAAATATCCATAAATGTCAATAATATGATATGTATGATTATGTATATAGATTCATGAAATATTCATTTCAGATCCATTAAGTCTCAATGTACAGCTATAGATCCACTGGCATATATATATACATAGTCATGTCCGATACTTATCAACTATACATATATATATATATCAACATAGGTTACTTATTAACTATAGGTATCTATTTATGCTTATTAAGATGATATTTTCAATACGTATTTCCGATAGTTATTAAGATTATATCTATATAGTTATTTCCTCTATACATAGTGTTTTCCTATAGTTATTTCCTATAGTTATTTCCTATAGTTATTTCCTATTAATATAATATTCCTTAGTTATTGACTATAGGTACCTCTGGCTCAATATGTGTTAGTTATGAATTGTAGGTACCTATATATGGTTATTAACCAGAAAATCTATATCATATCTAGTTATTAATAGATATCTAGTTATTTACTATATGTATATGAATAAATGATACGTCCAATAATTTCACTTCCTATGTATATATACAATATAATTATATTGGTATTTCCTATAGTTATATTTCCATATATGTTCTACATATAGCTTTTGGCTCTCGCACGACAATTTTAAGCTGTCGCAGTGCCGGCCCACGGACGCTTTAGCGACCATGGCCGGAAGAAATTTCCTATTAAGCTAATATTTGTTAGTTATTCGCTATGTATATTAGATATAGTTATTTACTAAAACACATTGTGCGAAGATGATATGTCAAACAATATTCCCCAATCATGTATGTTTCCTATATCTATGGTTATTAAGATGATATTTTCCAATAATATATCGACATGATATTTCCACCAAACAATCTCGACCGATAGTTATTTCCTACTAAGATAATGTCGATATTTATAAACTATACATGGTTCAATAATAGGTATGAGATAATAGAAATTACCTAAAATTATAATAGGTTATATTAAGTAGGTATCAGATAACTATTTCTAAACTATACATGGTTTTGTTATCAGCTACCCTCTGGTTATTTAACATAGCCATGGAAAATAGCCCATTTATAGATGATTTTCCCAGCTAGAAACCTCCATTTGTAAGGGATTTTCCATGGCTATGTTAGTCATAACCAGATGGTAAACCTATATGAGAATGGATTGATGACCGTCCTCTTCCAGGACTGGGTCCACTCATGTCCATCTATAAATGGGCCATTTTCCATGGCTATGTTAAATAATCAGATATACTATAGATATACTATAGATATACTATAGATATACTATAGATATACCATGGATATACTATAGATATACTATAGATATACTATACCTCAAATTTTCCCTTCAGAAACCTCTCCACATGTCCCTCCGAGGCTCACGGCCTTCATGGAAGGCATTGCCACCGAGGCGGCGCTGCCGGGCAGCACCAGCTACTGCAGCCTGGAGACGCTTAACGACGTCGGGGTAGGGAGGAGGGGTGCCGAAAAAGGTGGGGAAAAGCGCTGGAAAATTTTGGGATTTCTATGATTTATATGGGATTTATATGGCAAGTTATATGGGATTTCTACGGAAGTTCTATGGGATTTATATGGGGATAAGGATGGATAAAGGTTTTAAGTATGGGATCTATAAGGGATTTATAGGGTAAATGTGTGGGAAAATGCTGATTTATAAGGGACACATATAGGAAATATATGGAAAAATTGGAAACCACATGGTACGAAGTGGGATTTACATGGGAACACATTGGGAGATGGCCCGTTTATGGCTGATTTACCGTTTAGACATTCTGATTTTTCCGTTGCCACGTCAAATTTCCAGAGGGTATGAACTGTGAACCACTACTAACTACTATATAACATTATATAACTAGTTCATTGAATATAAAGTGGTTCATACACACGTATTTTAATAGATGTATTTAACTATTGATATTTTATTATTTAACTATTGATATTTTACACACATCTCGATACGAACTGTCATTGCTTTCCTCTCATTTTTCATAGGGAACTGGGGCACCACCGTATCATGTGAAATTCCAATTTTAGGAGGACTATTTCTGGATCAAAACTCTCCATTTTTGTTGACTAAATCCAGCCCATTTTAGAATATACATATATATATATATATATACATACATATCAATCTTGCTGCAGGCGCCATGTTTAATGGCAAATACAATTTTTCGATGTTTAGTTACAGAGTTAAACCTATATACCACCATCTACCCTGTTAAATATCCCATGATATATCTCTTCTCTCCCGACGAAAGGATTGGTTAATCCCGTCCCCCTCCCTGAAAGACCCCCCAGAGTCACCTTGGCCGCATACGACTGGGGGTGTTTCATGTGCACGGGGGAAGAGATCCCTACTTGTATATCCTATAAATCCATGAAGATCCCCAGTTTTCACGCTCAAATCCCCATTCTAATCATGAACAACTACTTAAAGCACATATTTTTGCTGGTAAAAAAATCCCCATCAAATCCCAAAATAAAGTCCACGAATTCTGACTGGGGTGTTTGGAAAAACATCCCCATTTTACATCCTTATTAATGGCTTATGAAAATCCATTTGAAATCCTGAAATTTTCACCGGGAACTCTACACAGCTCCCAGAAATAATGCCACGATGCAAAATCCCTATCGATGATGGGTACATATCCCTGCTCTCTGGTGATATTCCCATAAAATCCCCACAGAAATGTTGATGGGTAATATTTGTTGTTAATGGTTGTTTTTCCAAGTAGTTAAACATATTTATTGGTATATATATATATTATACACATATATCATTGGTATATATCATTATATCCCTAATTCTCCTCAGTTATTCAGTTATTCAAATTATTGATATTCCTATAATTGACCAGGGTTGGAAGAAGACTGAAACCACTAAAAATGGCTTATGAAATCATGGTCAAATCATGGTCAATCATATATCCTATAATGTGAGGCCCCCCCCAGTTATAAATTGGTTTATAAGCCCCAGTAACTATAGTTATAAGTTATAAGTACCATAAACCATACTTATTGAAGTTATAAACCAACTTAGGTATCCAACGGGGGTCTCACATCACCAGAACAAACAGCAATCAACATCCCTCAAGATATCTGACCGATGATCACCAGGTCAATTTCTTGATATTCCTATCATGCTTACCCTCTGGTAATGACTAACATAGCTATTGAAAATGGCCATCTATAGTTGATTTCCCATTAAAAATGGTGATTTTCCATAGTTATGTATTAGTTATGTTAGTTTACCAGAGGGTACCCTAATCCATATCAAACAAAATCCCAGTTTTGACCCAGGAACTACGTGGTCATGCGCAACTTGGCCATTCAGATCCCTCGCGCCTTGGGCCCTCCAGTGGCCCGGGCTCTCATTGATAGCTGCGGAAGGACGCGCTCCGCGGAACCTGCCATTACGGCGATTCTGAGTGGTAAATGGCTGACACTTTTTAGACATTTACCCTCTTGTAAATTAACTAACATAGACCCTGAAAATAGCCTAGTTTTAATGGAAACTAATCTTCCGAACCCGATGACTGCCAGGGTCTATGTTAATTTACCAGAGGGTAAAGCATGTTCCATGTATTTCAAGGATTGGGAGTGAGGATGTTGGATTCCCAAGGAACGCATCGTGAAACGATGGATTGGCCCCAACTGAGACAGTGCTGATTCCCCACTGGAAAAACCCTGAGGAACAGCACGTTTGAAACGTCCGCCAGGAACACCTACGCGGTGCTGCAGCTGTGTCTGAGCAGCGTGGCCATCAGTGGGGTGTGGTTTGCAGCCAAAACGGCGCGTAGCGATGCAGTGTCCAAACACCTCTGATGCGAGTCTTTTCCATGGCGCGGGGGTAGGTCAAAAGAAAGGAAAATTGGATACGAAAAATTCATAAAAATTCGGGATATACCCTCTTGCTATTTAACATAGCCATGGAAAATGGCCCATTTATAGATGGTTTACCTGGGTTTACCTATTAAAAATGGTGATTTTCCATGGCTATGTTAGTCATAACCAGAGGGTACCTGGGAAATTGGATGACCGATGGCAGCCATAGGCAAAAAAAAGCAGCGCAAGAAAAGCCGAATTTTGTGGTGAATTAAGGGGATTTAACCCATGAATCGTGGATTTTTTTTGTGTGGATTTAACCATCAACAATAGTCAAAACTATAGGAGTCATATGGATTGGACCTGCAGAAATGGATGTGTCTGATGGTGGATTTAGCCACAAGTAAAAAGCTATTTTCATAGAGAAAATTATGATTGGATATATTGGATTGGTTAACAGGTGTATGAGGTCACGAGAATCTAAGTAAACTACAGCAGGGTGGTCTGATTAAGCTTAGAAATGCTTTGTAATGATTGGTAGAAGCAATGCAAGTGTCAATTCGAACTGTTTGTTTGCAAGATTGTAGAACCCCAAGAGTGTTTGAAAAACACGTTTTGTTTTCCAGCACCCCAAAAAGGCTGATGCTTAAAGAAATCCACGTGAACCATCCGTTGGGAAGCCGTTCGGAGCCATGGTGAATCCGGATCTTCTATGAGGAACATTTGGAGGTTTGCTAAGTCATGGGGCTACCCCAAAATCATCCAAGTCATGAGACCATTTATGACAATTTTATGACAATTTTATAATTGACACCCATGGTTTTGGGGATCCTCCAGGACACCTATATTTAAAATGGTAGATTGGATGTGATGCTGGAGTGTGACACAGCGGTGCAACAGTGGAATACCATTTGATTCGAGATTAGGTGCTGCGCCACCAGAAGAGGAGTTTCATGTGTTTCACGTTACTGTAGGTTGTGTCTGAAGGGACTATGGCGACACGTTTGATCGCAGATCAGGTGAAACACAGCAAAGTTACAATGTGGTGCCCCCGAGTGATAAGTTGGTTTATAGATACTATGAACGCTTTGTTATACTAGTAATAAAGCCACGAACTGGGGCACCATCTATAATTTAGTTTTGTCCTTTGTCGAGTGCTCACCTAGCACCTGCAGTATGAAAAGCCATGGTTTCCCCAGAAACAGTATCTACGTTTCTGGTGGATTTTCATCGTGTCAATGTTGATGCACTTGGGCAATCTATAGTCTAGTTCAAAAAAATGTTGAATTTCTCCAGCTCTGTTCATTCTCCTGACATTTTTTGTCTCCCAAAAAACGACTGCCTATAGCAGCTACAGTCCCTGAGAAGTGTCGGAATGACCGACCATTTCCATGCCCAGTCAGTGGTCGTTCCTCGAGCGTTTCGGCCCTGAACTCCAGCCCTGCAGGGACTCTCCCAAAGTCACCAAAGACCTTGATTTCCAGCGGTTGGAAAACTTGCAATGTTGGATTTCTTGGGATTTCTGGGGTATTTGTGATGGATGAACTGATTTTTTTTCTTTTGTGTTTCCCATTCAAGTCTTGAATTTCTGATTGCCATGTGGCTATGATTCCAAACCATGGAATCATCGTTCAACCACCGGGGGAATCTGGTACCAGTTTTGCTGGGAATATGGCCATGTTTTCGCGGCTTCATCGAGATGACACCAACTTTGTATCATGTTGTACCCTCTGGTAATGACTAACAAAAAGCTATTGAAAATGGTCATTTATAGTGGATTTACCCATAAAACATGGTGGATCTTTCCATAGTTATGTTAGTTTACCAGAGGGTATCACTAATATTTCAACATACCTGGTTTCATGGGTTGAAAACAACACCTGACCCTGGCTGCGCTTCTCCTGAGGAACATTTGGTTGGATTCGAGCCATGCACTTTAATTTTTGGCAACGGATGAACAAAACACCAAGAACTGCTTGGGGTCCTAGGAACTGTATTTTGGTCCCATACAAGGCGTAAGGCACTAGTCACTAGTTCGTTAGCTAACTTGGTTTATAATTGAGGTTAACTAGATAGATCTATCGGACGAGTTACAGCCATGGGATGTTGGTCCCATGGGTCTTGACCCATGAGCCTCTCCAAGGTTTCCAATTCCACCCAACAGGCCACATGTCCAGCATTTCAGCCATCTTCAGGACATGAATAAAACTGGTTATATTTTGACGGAATCGGGCGTGGGTCAACAAATCAAACCATGAGAAAGTTCAACTGAAAACCCCATGAAACATGGGGTTCAATGGGATTTCATGGGGTTTAATGGTATTTAATCATTCTTTTGGGAGATTCTGCAAGAGATCGCTCAACCTAGCGGATGTGAAGAGCGACACGACGACACCAAGAAGGTACGTCGTGTTCGGCGGCAGACGGCCTCAGAAGAGGGCTGAGAATCGAAGGAAAATTGCGAGGCTTTTGATGGATATTGTGTGTACGGCCCATCCAATAGATGTTTGTTTGATCGGCTTTTCCCAATTTCCAACTCGGCTTAGGGATCATTTGAATTGTTGTATTCCATGTCAAATGTTCCCATTCGATCCCATCATATGTCGAAAATCCCGTCCCATCATATTGTGCCAATGTCAACCTGGAATTAATAAACCATGGTTTTTGATTGTGGGGGTACCCTCCAAATAGTGACAACATGATACTCAAAATATTACCTCACCAATTAAACAGCCGTTTGGGGTTTATTAATCCAGGGTTGACTACTTGGAAGATCATCCCACTTAGTGGTTAATGACCATAGTTAATAACCACAAGGTGGTGCCCCCCAGTTACAAGTTGGTTTAATTATACACCATATAGCTATATCCTCCATAATCCCTAGTGAAATTGGAGTTATTTTCCATTATTTTCCCCAAGTCAGCTAACCGTTTAACGGGGGCACCACCTTGCAGTAGATCCCATTGTTGGGCCTATCATATCACCAGATTCATCGAAGCAGAGCCATTAAATGCCATGAAAATCATCATTGATTCACCATGATTAACCATTATTTACCATAGATATTTCCCTTAATTATCTTAATTTACCCCGATAGTTACTATAATCCATTAAGAAATGTGGGATAAATCCATCATATGAATCCTTGCTTAACCACAGCCAGAGCCGCAGGACGTTGAGAAGACGTCAACGTCCACTGCCATGGCCATCTTGGCCAAGACAAGGACCTTCGAGATTGGTCAAGTTATACGGTTGTGGTTATAAAATGTAATTCTATATATACTATATATAATGTATAGCCATATAGCATAGATATGATTACATATGATTATATATACTGTATACTGTATGATTATGTAATCATATATATATATACATATGTATGATTATCTAATTATACATATATATATAATTACATACATACTCGCAGGCCGGGGGGTTCGCCGTCGGCTAACATGCTCATTTTAGCTGTGTTTTGTGGGACGAAATGGACGTAGGCGCATTTTTGTCCAGAATTGGGTGGGTTTGATGTTTTGCGCGTTTTCGTTCTTTAACGATGCTACGTGACTGACGTCTTGTCGTTGGGGGGGGTGGGGTGGGGTGAGGTAACTTGGCACCTGACTGTTTCAAACCAGACATGCAATACTGTCTGCACAACGCGTGAGTGAAAAAATCTTGAAGGCTTGAGTTTGCACTGGACATTGGTTTCATGCACTTTCATGGACTTGATGACCTTTCAACCGACGGCGAACGTACCGTCCTGTGCGTATGTGGACATGGGTTATGGTCATCTATTGGGAATCCTTTTGATGGGTATAACTATCTATGGATCTGTCTATTCATCTTTCTTTCTGTCTGTGTATATATATATATATGGATATATGTACATGCACTGCTGCACTTATGCAGCAATGGTCACAACATCGTTAAACATGTGGAAGGCAGTCCCAGCCAAACCTTCATGGAGGTAGTATCTGTCCTGTGTATTTGAAGGCTTCACAAAGTAATGTTAGTACAAGAATGCCATAAACCAGCGATATGGATTGATGGTTTACAGTTTATACTGTAGTTTATACCACACATTTATGGTAAACTTGGGGATGGTTTACCTATTGCTTTACCCACATTAGAGTCTTTGAAGTGATTGTAAGATGAAAATTCAATTGGAGAATCTCGAGAAAATGCGGATCAAACTTACAGAAAGAGGGATGTATGACTTAACCACAGTCAAAGCCTATTAAGAATGCGGGAATTGGGGAATGAGAGATATAGCCAATCCTGAAAGGAATTATTTTGCAGAGACAAAGCATAGCTTGGTGCAAAGATATTTTTAAGATGCTTTGTTTGATAAACGTGTGGAGCCAGATGTTCGAAAAGAAATCATCGAACGGCAACAGGGTCATTGTTTACAGGATCAACAGTTTTTTTGTTGTTCCGGAAGTTCCCAATCTCAGGGTTTGCTTGGTTTTGGCACGACACTGTCCATCACCGTCCTTTTTTCTTTTGCGTCAACGCATTTTGACTCAGACAATTTGAACTGCATGGTACGGAGGGTTTCTATGACACTTTCCCAACAGTTCAACATGACGTATTGTTTTCATTGTTTTCAATGGCATTGTCTGTGCCTTGACAGCGCAGGCCTAGCTGGGCATGGAAGCCTGTGCAAAAAAAAACATGGATATTCAACTAGGATTATTTTGATATGATATTAATTACCAGTATGTAATAGAAACTGGATTATTATCCTACTTGAATAGTAACTGTAGGCCTAGTTGAATAGAAATCCATTGTGATAATACCAGTTACTATTCAACTCCTTGCAGCTCATTGACACGATTTTGTTGCTGAACACCGATTTTTGTTGGTGGTGCGCACAAAACAGACTGTAGGTATTTATATACACTCAACCACCCAAATGTCATGTGTTACTTTTGGCAGATTTTCTTACACATGGTGGTTGGTTGTATCACTCAAATATCCCTGTGTTTGTTGCCTAGATGTTGCCATTTTTGGATGTGATCTAAATAACCATTACTTTGATAGTTGGAACACATTGAAACACCTGATCTTGTACTCGTAATAGGTGAGCATACGACAGTTTCTCCCATTTTGTGGTTGTTGAAACGTGAGCAAAGGACTTGTTCATTTGGTGTAATCTTCTCATTATCATTGTTTGATTTTATTAAAAACTGGAGTGATCTAAGTCTATATACATTCCTAGACCCTCCAAATACCCCCAAAAAGAGTCAAAGTACTAAAATTATGGGGTAACACATCATTTCTTTGGGTATACTTTTCCGGGTCAACCGCTCCCCATGTTGATTCGTTGGAAGTTCAACTTCGCTGCCCCAGGAGCAGCTTCGGTAGCAACACCCGCGCGCTGTTGCAGGCGCGCAGAATCCTGAAGCGCAAACAGGCGGGGTACCACCGGTTTTGATGTGGAATGATGTAGACTTCCAGGATTTCATCCTCTACCCTCTGGTTATTTAACATAGCCATGGTATAGATGGCCCAAGAAATAGATGGTTTACCATGGTTTACCTATAAAAAATGGTGATTTTCCATGGCTATGTTAAACAACCAGATGGTAGGTTTTTTGGATGGGTCAATTTTTTCCAGGTGGGCAACGGTTGTTGTCACTATGATTTACATTGATTTACTGATTTACATACTGTATTACTGTAAGTGAAATTTACAGCGTTCTGAGTTCTTAAAGCGTGATTTTCTGGATGGTGCTTACATCCACAGTATCGATGATGATCCCCCGTGACATCCAGATCATCGTTTTCGGGTTGAAACTGCCAAGCCGTTTTCGCGCTAGCAGATGCGCTTGAGCAATCGATTGGAGCAACCTTATCAGAGAGGTACCCTCTGGTAAACTAACATAGCTATTGAAAATTGCCATTTATAGTGAGTTTTCCCATTAAAAATGGTGATTTTCCATAGCTATGTTAAATTACCAGAGGGTATATCAACTTAGCCATATTCTGGATGGATTGTAATGACCTCACGTCGTTTTCCGTCACTGGAATGATGGTGAGCTGGCCGTATGATTACAACTATTTTCAAGGTAACTGGTGCTGCTTCTGGTGGATCATGAAGACATGCTGATTATTGTCTGGGTGTGTTTTTGGACACCCGGCAAACAGAGAGGTGCATTTCCCCCAAAATATGCGAAAAAAAGGCTTGAAACATATATTAAAGTGAAGATCATCCAATATTTTGACATGAATCCAATAGCTTCATCCAATATCATGAAGTTCATCCAATATTCCATGGACACCCCTGGAGCTTTTTGACATCACCTTCCCAAACAAAGGTGTTCCTGTTCCTCCGAGACCTCTACACGAACATCGTCTGGATCTTGGCGACCAAAATCCTTTTTTTTGCCGTTAGGGGTCAACAGCAGCAACGTCATGATAACATGGATAATGAATGATAGTGAATCAATATGAATCAACGATAATCAATGATAATGGGGGTAAAACAATGTCATCAACCACCCATTTGGGAATGGTTTATACCACCTATAAAAATGGTGATGACTGGGGGATGGTGCAGATGGCATTGTTTTACCATGTTTTACCAACAGTAATCATCATTCTCAACAGTTTTGACACTCTTTGATGGGCGTCTGATCGTGTCAGCCCGTGTCCTCACCCAGCCTGTTCGGAATGGGGAATGGATGGTTTTTCGAATGGTCAACAAGGCTTTTGTCAGACACCCGTGCATCATTTACCCTCTGGTAAACGTTTACATAACTATGGAAAGATCCACCATTTTTCATGGGATCATCAACTATTTCTATGGCCATTTTCAATAGTTTTTTGTTAACGTTTACCAGGCTACCGGTATCACCTATGGTGTGAAGATCTGACAATTATGTATGGATCAGTTCACCGCTGGTATCCGTTCCCAAAATAGTAGCTGGGATGTATGGATGTGAATTCATGGCCCCAAATCTGGTATCACTTATCGGTTTTGATAGCTTTTGATCCATAATCCTAACTTGGTAGGTTTTGATAGGTTTTGATAGGTTTCCAACTGAAAAAGAGAAGCACAAAACAGCAGGCAGCAGCTTTTCATTTTTTTTTCCACACTTCCCAGGTGACGGACCACAAAGAGGAAAGCTGGCTTCGTTCCGGGACCCGGATCCGACGGGTTATGGATAGCCATGGAAAATGGCCCATAGAATCTAGATGGTTTACCTATGAAAAATGGTGATTTTCCATGGCTATGTTAAATAACCAGATGGTAGTATCTATAAGATATAAATCGCTTAAATATTGTCCCATTTTACTTCATAGAAAGTGCTATTTATAGCCACTTTTGAGAAGTGAATGATTGTGCAGTCATGTGGGTTTCCGCATATTTGATCAAATCATTTGCCAGTTTCATGTGTCGATTTTACGCGTTGGACCGTTGGACACTGAAGTTAACTATATAGTATAATATTATGAACAACTTGCAGCCACAGACTGGGCCAGGTCAAAATAGTTTTTTTTCATTTTTTTATCATTTTGGTTATCATTGCATTCATCATTTTTTTATCATTTATTTTATCATCTTCATTTTTTTATCATTTCAGGTATCTTTTTTTTAAATCATTTTTTTATCATTTCTTTATCATTTTTTTCATTTTTTTCTTTTTTTTTAAATCATTTTTCATCATTTTTGCTTCCAGTGGTGCAAAAATTTTCCAAAAAATGGAAAATTACAATTTTCCTCGAGTTTTTATCATTTTTTTAATCATTTTTTTATCATTTTTTTTTTCATTTTTCATCATTTTTGCTTCCAGTGGTGCAATAATTTTCCAAAAAATGGAAACTTGCAATTTTCCTCGAGTTGTTTTCATTTTTTTATCATGTTTTTACCATTTGTTTATCATTTTTTTATCATTTTTTTTTAATCATTTGTTTATCATTTTTCATCATTTTTGCTTCCAGTGGTGCAATAATTTTCCAAAAAATGGAAAATTGCAATTTTCCTCGAGTTGTCTTCATTTTTTATCATTTTGTTTATCATTTTTTTACCATTTGTTTATCATGTTTTTATCATTTTTTTTAATATTTTTTTTTTAATCATGTTTCATCATTTTTGCTTCCAGTGGTGCAAAAATTTTAAAAAAAATGGAAAATTGCAATTTTCCTCGAGGTGTCTTCATTTTTTTAATCATTTTTTTATCATTTGTTTATCATGTTTCATCATTTTTGCTTCCAGTGGTGCAAAAAAAAATCAAAAAATGGAAAATTATAATTTTCCTCGAGTTTTTATCATTTTTTAATCATTTTTTTATCATATTTTTTTTTTCATTTTTCATCATTTTTGCTTCCAGTGGTGCAATAATTTTCCAAAAAATGGAAACTTGCAATTTTCCTCGAGTTGTTTTCATTTTTTTATAATTTTTTTATCATGTTTTTACCATTTGTTTATCATTTTTTTAATCATTTTTTTATCATTTTTTTTATCATTTGTTTATCATTTTTCATCATTTTTGCTTCCAGTGGTGCAATAATTTTCCAAAAAATGGAAAATTGCAATTTTCCTCGAGTTGTCTTCATTTTTTATCATTTTGTTTATCATTTTTTTATCATTTGTTTATCATGTTTCATCATTTTTGCTTCCAGTGGTGCAAAAAAAATTCAAAAAATGAAAATTGCAATTTTCCTCTGTTTTTTTTCATTTTTTTAATCATTTTTTTATCATTTTTTTTTTTTAATCATTTTTCATCATTTTTGCTTCCAGTGGTGCAAAAAAAAACCAAACAATGGAAAATTGCAATTTTCCCCGAGTTTTTTTTCATTTTTTAATCATTTTTTTAATCATTTTTTTATCATTGTTTTTTCATTTTTTTTTATCGTTTTTTTCATTTTTTTATCATTTGCTTCCAGTGCTGCAAAAATTCTCCAAAAAATGGAAAATTGCAATTTTACACGATTTTTTCATTTTATTATCATTTTTTTATCATTTTATCTTCATTTTTTTTATCATTTTTTACATTTTTTTTACCATTTTTGTTCATTTCCATTTTCTCTTTTCATGAATTATCATTTTTTCATTTCCATTTTCTCTTTTCATTTTTTATCATGTTTTTTTCGTTTCCATTTTCTCTTTTCATTTTTTCATGTTTTTTCCATTTCACTTTTCTCTTTTCATTTTGATCATTTTGTTCATTTCCATTTTCTCTTTTGATGCTTTAGTTTTTTTAAAACTTTTGCCTGCTTTTTCTTTCAATTCTTTTTACTTTATGTCATAAGCCTTAGTGTTCCTTCAAGCTGATAACGAATTATGAATTGTAAAGAGTTTTATATACTACTTCCAGGTTTGCTACCTATGACTGACATAGCCTATTTTCATAGCATGGCACCATCTGACCCAAACTAATGGGACCTTGGGCAAAAAGGACTTCAGAAGGTCTCGCGCTCAAAGGCTTTCCAACAGCCCCCGCAGATGCAAAATGGAAATGAAAAAAATGATAATGAATTTGGAGATGATAGAACAATTATAATGATGATGTAAAATAAATGATAACCAAAATGATGATAACATGAAAAAATAAATATGTTGACTCCCCCCAGGTTGTGGCTCACATATTCTCCTAAGTTTACACGGCATCAGAGTGCAAAGGCCTGAAACTGATGAGCACCGCCATCAAGCACCGGAACATCTTGGATGCTCCGGAGGACCGTGTATACACGGCTGTAAGCATCAGTACCGCAAAGACCTTGCCATTTATGGCCGGTCAGCCAGAAGCCAGAGTGGAGTCGTGGGCTTCCAACTACAACCAAAAACGCATTCAGGCGATCGAGCAAGCGACCAGAATCTTGATGAAATCTTAGGAGAATTGACTTGGAATATGCAGTGAACATCGCACGAACTACAATGCATCTTTTTGCGATTTGTTGCTGGAATTTCAAAAAGCCGAAGGGCTTGTTTTTACAATGTCGACTGAGTGAGGTTTCTGACGGATTTCTTTGAAAAAGAAAAACCCGGGTTGATGTTGAAACCCATGGGACAGATTGGCCAAACGTGACCCGCAGGCATCCGACCGATGCCGGTTTTGCAATGAAAAAGACAGCCAGACACACCGGCACTGGCAATGCCCCTTCTTTGCAGCCTGTAGGACACATATGACAGCCCAGCAGATATTATACTATAATACCACTTGATACAATATGACATTGTACTGAGATGGTATTATACAATAGTTAACTGGTATTATGATACTGGTATTTGAATATTGGTATTGTGATATTTGGTATGACTATTGGTATTGTGATATTTGGTATTTGACTGGTATTTGAATGGTATATGAAATATGATCCCCCCATTTTGGTGGGATGATGGGGGGGTACCACATTTTGAGGACAACCTTGGCCGTCCAAAAAACATCACGGGCTTGATGAAATTGATAAGAACAACGGAGATCTTGGAGAGGTCAGGTAAATTATAACGACCGAACCCTGTTCTCCCGAACCCTGGAATCATAGTTTCCATAAGGGAAATCATCCCCAGCCATGGGCCGAACTATTCAGGTTAGTGAAATATTATAATTTACCCAGATGAGTTTGATGTATCTGAAAAATCTTTCTGTTGATCTTTCTCGGACATATTCCGATTTGGAATTCCCAATATTTGGTCACTTGGTCCCACGTGGGAACTTGGAAATCAGATTTCACGCCAGTCCTCGGGTCCTCGGTCATAACTAGATTATGACGTATATGGATGTATATGGGATAAAGCCCAATCATCAAATATACCCTCTGGTTATTTAACATAGCCATGGAAAATGACCATGTTTAATAGGTAAACCCAGGTAAACCATCTATAAATGGGCCATTTTCCATGGCTATGTTCAATAACCAGATGGTACACGATTTTTTCATCAAAATAAACATGTCGGATTCCAGGAGATGGTAAATTACATTTTCCTTTGTTAAACCTGTTGTGTATATAATTGAATATAACCTATATATGATTATGTATATATATATGTATATATGGGGCCTATCTCAAAGTTTGGACCCCAAAACTTATCATCATGCGTCCAACATGTTTCCTAATCCCATCCCCAAGTATTTTCAAGTTACAAACCATACATATATATATATGATATATATATATGATATATATATATGTATATATATCATATACATATATAATCATATATATATGTATGTTAATACACCCAATTGTCAGAATGTTCTTAAGTACCCTCCAGTAAACCAACATAGTTATGGAGAACCCACCAGCAACGTCGATCATTTTCCACCGGGAAAAGCCATGGATTTCCATAGTTGTTTTTTTGTTTTTTTTTTCATTGGAGCTCACTTTTTCCAATTTCAAGCCCCATGTTTCCAGTTAAAAACATAACCACAAAGCCAAGCAATTCGAATATGGTGTTTCTCACTATCACTATCATATCACCACAAGAGATCACAATCATCCCATAATATAGTGATGGTATTTCCCAATGAATATGGTGTTTCTTGGTATTCCATGATCTTCCATGATTCCTTCCGCGTACCCTCTGGTTATGTCAAAATAGCTATTGAAAATGGCCCATTGAAATCGTGGATTTACCCATGAAAAACGGTGGATCTTTCCATAGCTAACTGTTAGTTTACCAGGCCGGGTAAACCTCCATTTTCCATCATTTTCCTATGGTTTTCCTGTGGTTTTCCCATTAAAACCTCCATTTTGGGGAAAAAAAATCTCACCTTTCCCGGTGGCGAGGTGAAGCAGCTGAGGAGGATGGCGAGAGTGACGATGGCTCCAGCAGCCTGGAGAAGAGATGGCGGAAATCCTGGAAGCTTCACCGGGAAAGCATGGCTTTTTACCATGAAAGATGGAGTGGTAAGGCAGCTTAGTGGATAGAGCAATGGGAGACGGATGGGTGCCCATGGTGTCAACATTTGAGACCAGGGAACCTGGCTTTTGAAACTATGTGGGACTTGATAAAGACTCGTATAATGATTTTAGATGATTTTAGATGATTTTAGATGATTTTAGATGATTTTAGATGATTTTAGATGATTTTAGTATTACTCTTCTATTGTTGTCTTGATGTTATCAATGATTTTGCCCTCTAACAAGGCTAGAAATTTGCACTTCCAGCGCCCCCACTCTTTTTACATCCCAACATTTGGCGTTGCTTCGCAACATTTCTGCAAGTTTCCTGCCGGGGCAAACTTAAGGTACACACATGGGAACAAAATCACGGGTAAATCATTTTCCTATACAGAAACCATCTATGTTAGTTTACCTATAGGGATCCCTAGGGTAAGTCTCTTATATTGTTTTGTTGCTTACCCTCTGGTAAACTAACGTAACTATGAACAGATCCACCATTTTTAATGGGTAAATCCACTATTTCTATGGCAATTTTCAATAGCTTTTTGTATGTGTTTACCAGAGGGTAGTCATCCCGAACTGCACTTCGATCGAATCTCAGGTAACAGCGGGGAAGAGGCGCTCCGTGGGTGTGTGTTCTGGAATAAACAACGTCCAGGATTTTCTCGAGGTATGCTGGTTGTATACCCTATAAATACCCTATAAATACCCTATAAATACCCTATAAATACCCTATAAATACCCTATAAATACCCTATAAATGGTGGTATAGATGGTTTTCCAGGAACATTCAATTCCAAGATTTCCAATTTGGGAATCCCTTGGAAAAGGCGGCGATTTTAACCAATCACCAGTGGCTCACTGTGTCGACCCAGGTGGAAACCCTGGAAATGGATGGTTGGGAAGTCTTGGGGGAAAACGCCAGTTGTAAATCAGAAAAATAGGCGTGGTTTACATATCCGTTGATATCCCAATTTACATATTAGCGTTGATATCCCAATTTCATGGAATTTCAGGGTTTTAATTAACATGATTTAAGCACATTGGGATGTGACATATGTGAAATGTCAATCCGAGAAATTCAACATCAAAAAATGCAACAGCAGAAATTTTGTTTGATCACCATTTTCCGTTTACCCCAAGTGTTTGACCCCAAAAAAACTCAACAGGACATCGTGCTGGACGAGGATGATGAAGATCTAAGGATCCACGTTGGGTGGCCCAAAAATCATCCAATTCCTGGCTGGCTATTTTAGTATTGAAACCTATATGATTAACCATTACCCATAGGATCCATGTATGCTATATATGGTAACATTTACCATCAATATACCCCCAATGTTAGCATATATACCATACATGGATCCTATGGGTTATGGTTTGGCGAATGTGAGCTATCCAGTAAGAAGCTGGGATTAACCAGGGGACGAATCTTAGTAATGTATAGTAATGTGGTAAATGAGTAGCCATTTGTTGATTATTGGTGAACAACAAACTGGGATTTTTCTCTGGCGTCACAAAAAAGATAGCGGAAATCCACGAACGAAATGTAGATTTTTGGCTGGGAAACTCATCTGTTCACAGGGATTACCCTCTGGTAAACCAACATAACTATGGAAAATCACCATGCTATTAATGGGAAAACTCAATATAAATGGCCATTTTCAATAACTATTTTGACATAACCAGAGGGTAACTTTTCAACCAGAATGTGGGATTCACCCAATGCATGGGTGGTCCCCTCTGGTTATGTCTAACATATCGAACTGGAAAGATCCAGCATTTTATAGCTGGGTAAATCCACGACATTTCGACTGGGCCATTTTCTATGTCGGTTTTTGTTAGACATAACCAGGCCGGGTAAACGTTTACATAACTATGGAAAGATCCACCATTTTTAGTGGGTAAACAAACTATAAATGACCATTTTCAATAGCTTTTTGTTAGTCATTACCAGAGGGTAACTCTTTCTTAAATGGTAGGTTTGTGGCACTGGCTTCACCCAGGTTACGTGTTGCAAAGAAGAAAACCATGAAAAAAAGACACCGGAGTAGACACCGGAGTTACATATGCCATTGCCATGTGTTGCACTTTCATATATTTCCTAAGCCATGGTGGATCATGGTGGAAATGGTGCGACACCATGTTTTTATGGCCCATGGTGTCCCAGGGGTTATCTCCTTTACGGGTTACAACATGTCAGGTGGTGTTCAGTGTATAACCATTCTAAGCCCGTTCTTCAAAAAATTGGAGTCATGAAGGTTTGGAGGCAAGACCGAAGTTGGTGATAGGACATCCTTGGACATCTATATATCTATCCCATCTTGTTTGCTATATGTTTGTTGTTGAAACCATATGGGTTTGTCTGAAAATAGGGTATATTCCCAATTATAGCCATTTAATAGGGATAATGATCATTAACCATTGGGTTTAGGGGTACACTATTTTCAGACACACCCATATAGAACCCATTCAATTGTGGATGATTCTGCAGCTATATCCATACATTGCTAGACTGTTTTGACTTCTCTCAAGGTTTCACTGGTTGTAAACCAATTTATGGTGGTCAGACTGGGCTTACGCACGTTTCTATACGGGAAAATCCTTTGAGCGTAAAAACCCGGCTGTAACAGTGACGTTTACAACATTTCCCTTAAACCAATCTATCCAGGTTGGTGGTTTCAAAGATGAATTTTATTTTCCATATATGAGATCATCATTCCCATTGACGAACTCCATCATTTTTCAAGATGCTTATTGCACCACCAGTATCGAAGACCAGCCACTGCCACTGCCTCTCCCATGGTTGATCTTCCAGCCACCCCCCGTACAGCCAGCTCCTAAGGCGCCCCGCGAAGTGCGCGAACGTCTGGATGACACGCACAAACCGCAGGGGCTGACCAGCATCAAGGCGCGCCGATGGTTCGGTGATGTTAGGTGCTGACTTTGGGTCAATGTTTGGCTTTTGTCGCTCGGCAAATGGGGATCCAAAGCTACAATGTGAGGTTTTTGCAGTTATAAATTGGTTTAGATTTGCCCCAGTAACTATAGTTATAAGTACCATAAACTATAGTTATTGAAGTTATAAACCAACTTAAGTATCTTGGGGGCCTCACATTGTATAGATCACCATAGATTTTTGATGATTTTTGGGGGTGACCAGAAGGGCACAATTTCTTTTGACAATCATGGGCCTCACCACATATGATGGGGTTATTCTGTTTGATAAATCTACCAAGAATGGGATGACAGAAATTGTTGTGGACTTGGTAGACCTTGGTTTGGAAGAGGAAGGAAGAATCCCTTCCCACGAATTTGGGTACCATCCTTCCCTGGTTTAGCATTGGACCAATTCATTTTCTGGCCCTTGTGGTATATTATATATATTATACACATCATATAACACTATATAAATCTATATAACAGATTGGTTGCATACCCGCTTTCAAAATCCTGGAAAATCAGGTTAAACCATGTTAAGCCAACATGTTTCATGCCGAAACAACCCTAAAAAGAATAGGGAATCTCTTGAAGGCCAGGCCTTGGCGGCCAGTGGCTATGGCCTGTCGAAATACGCTTCATACTGCTGTCGTCGTTTTCCAATGTTCTGGTGGACAAAAAAACTGAAGCTATGTCTAAAATTCATATATCTATTGAGATATTCCTATAATTTACGCCCTGGTAAATTAACATAGACCCTGAAAATCACCAATTTTTAATGGAAACTATCTTCCAACCCCTATCTGCCAGGGTCTATGTTAATTTACCAGAGGGTAAGATATTTGGATATCATTTCATATTATCTAAGATGTTCCCTATAGTTGGAAATCTGATCCGTCGCCCAAAGAATAGCCAGTTATGAATGGCTGCTTCCCCCATTCATATTAAAAAAAAAACCTAAACGAAACCATGGTTTTTGGTTGGGAATTTCCACATGTTTTTGGGACCATAAATTGGGGTGTTTAATATGAATGGGTGATGGGTTGAGTGATGGGATTCTAGCCCGATCAAGATGCCAAGACACGTCTTTCCAGGAGACTCCGATGACTATTTTTCATTGGGAATTTCAGGACTTCACCAACGATTACCCTCTGGTGAACATACAAAAAGCAATGGAAAATCACCATTTTTAATGGGAAAATCCACTATAAATAGCCATTTTCCATTGCTATGTTAGTTCACCAGAGGGTATGTTTTTTTTTTTTCGGAAAATCTCTGGGTTTCCAACTTTTCTGTCTTTTGGGGGTTGCGAAAAAAAGTGTTTCACGACTTGGGGGTGGCTTCGTGAGTCATGCTTGGGAAATTTGTTGAATCACTTTGCGAAGGGGGCCTAAAATTTGCGAAAAACTGTGAAGTGTGAGGAGGACAAAATGCAGATCTTTCCCAACCTGAAGTAAACAATTTTATGTGTATATATGTCCATAAGATATGATATATGTCTGTGGCTGTCTTCCCCAAAGAAAAAGCATCAATGAGATGAGTCTTGGTTCTTGCCAGTGAGATGGATACAAACTTTCCCACGTACCACTGACGGAAATAAAACGTTCATCATCAGTTAGATAGCGGGTCAATGGTGAGTAAATTGCCACGTTACCGTTGCCTGCTACAAATCTTTCCATCCCCTGCAAATTCATCTTTTTTCATTAGAATCATTCATTTTAAGGGCATCCCTCTTTTTGCGCAGGCCCAATTCCATTTTTCATTGGTACTTTATCACCATTCTTGATGGGGTCAACCCCATATTTGATGGTCAAAAGCCATCTTATAAGTGTATATAACAACATATTATACACAGATATACAATGTATGTTATTTACATATATTATTATATATATTTACATCATATATATATAATAATAATCATATTATCCCCCAAATTGCAATGAATTCCCGCTGTCATCCCTAGTGTTGATGTAAAATCCGCAAGTTTTTGATAAAAATCCCACCATTGATGAGAAAAAAAGCCAGGTCTTAGGGCACTTTGCGGAGTACGTGCACTTCGCACAAATGGCCCTAATGTCCATCAAGGCGGGCAACAGGTTTCATCGTTTTGTCTGTGGATGAATTATTGGAATAAGATCTGGATAGTATCTGGATATACCCTCTGGTTATGTCAAAATAGCTACTGAAAATGGCCATTTATAGTGAGTTTTCCCATTAAACATGGTGATTTTCCATAATTATGTTAGTTTACCAGAGGGTATGTACCTGAATATATCGGGATGAATGATTTGGCATGATTTGTCTTTAGGAATTGACCCAATGGATAGATAAGCCAAATGGCTTTGCTGCCACAAAGGCCTCCCACTTGAATACGGCTGATCTGTGTGCCCAGTAGCGCATCACTCAGCAAGATCCTGAGATAGTAGCAGTGAACAAGATTATGGATCTGGGGCAGCAGGGCGAACATACGTTGGGCTCAAAGCATTCTTGCTTCAGGTTGGAGAACTTGTTTCTGTGAATGGGAAGACGAGCTTCAGTTTCACCGTTGGAGATCGATCAGGAGTATGTCAGGTTACTTGCTGGGATGCGGTAGCAACCGAATTGGGTGCGCGCTTGTTGGAAGCTGAGGAGAAGAGGATGCCTCGATTCTGCCCGGTGACCTTCTGCAAGAACTTTCTGTGGTCATTCGCAGTCACCGTGCTTCTCGCCGTCTTGCGCCGGCGAGCTGAACTTTTGGATTCAGCATGACCATCTTCCTCAGCCGTTTGTTTTTTTCCTTTTGTTGGCCGCTCCCTTCCTCGGGGTGCTGAAATGGCCTGAATCTTGCCATCCTGTAACCCCCTGGCGTCAAACGTCCGCTCACAAAGCTCTGGAGGCTCATTTTCCAATTTTTTGCTGCCTGTTCTGTTGTTAGTCCACCCCTTGCTTCCCCTCTAAGAGGCTTGTTGGTGTGGCCGCAGACTGATGTTTGGCCCATGTTTTGGGTATCCACCAGGATGCGCCAGGCCTCACTTCATAGCCCTTGGCCCTTGGCAGCGTGTAGGTTTGTCAGTTTTTCACATTCGGAGAGTTTTCGGATCCCATTGCCACGTTGATGATATATAGTTTCAATGGCTAACTATAGTTTCTTTTTACAATCAACAATATGAATTTGACTATGACATAGAATTGGTAATTGCCATCCGGCGTCATCAAAAGATGGCTAGCTGGAAATTCTATGATGGCCGGTCGAACTAGCCATGGGGATGTTTCCAGCACGCCATGGAGCTGATTACCAGAGGGTAACTATCACTTCTGGTAGAAGTTTTAGGGGCGTTTTAACTATCAAAAATATGATAACATATCACTAATTATGTTACCCTCCGGTTTTAGGGGGGCTCAACTATCAAACATATGATGACATGATTGACAAAGGATGGCTGATGGTTGCAACGGGGGGTTACACTTCCTAAATGGGGATCATCATCATCATCATCCATGACCTGGGAATCCCATTCTGAAGCAGGCAGTATTTCATGCAACGCCACGGATTTGAACACTGCTTAAAGTTTTCATTTTTTTTAGGAGAGAACCATCTTACTAATCTCATTAAGTTACATGAATCATTGATCGCAAATATAACTCTATAAGAGTAATCATTTATTTTTTGCTAAATAAACTATTTGCAACTAAAAATCAATTAATCATAAATCATAAATATGATTATTCGTTGATGGGTAACGTTAATTGCCATCTCTGCGAACCATTGGATCCCCACTTTGGCAGGTCTTGGGGGTCATGGTCCGCGCAGTTTCTTGGCGACGATGAAGGGGGTGGTTTTCGATGTAGTTTAGTTCCATGATTTTCCCAACTATATAGAAACTTCCAAGTATCGGGGATTTCCAAACTAGCCAGACACAGGATGGCAAATTAAATGTAAGTATCCAAAAAACATGTCAAATTGATATATCCCATCACGGTCCCATGATATTCCGATTATATCCCATTAAATCCTTATTTAGTGGTGGTTAAACGTTAATCACTCGGGTTTTTCCTCACAGGTCACCATCTGGTTCCCTGGCTTTACCCCAAGGCCTTGCGTGTGAAGAGTAATGCCCACAGCATCACTGCACGATCGGATGCGCAGCCAAAGTGGGGACACCGAGGGGGCCGGGCCGCAGGGCCCAGAAAACTGTTGTAGGTATTGGTGGATTAAATTTGGGTTATACTACCGATTTCATCATCCTGGAGATAGAGTATTGGCATTTATGACATTTCAAAGGTCGCACACATTTTCAAATATGTTTGAGAAAATCAAGTGAGCACTGACTGCAAAACCCTTTTTGGTTTGATATTATTTTTTTAAAATCATGTCTATCTATTGGGGAATTCTTATGTACCAGCCCGTATAGAATGGAATCACAGAGGGTTTCAAACACCGCTCAAGTGGTACATCGGACTGGCAGATTGGGGTTACACTGCTTGATTTAGGGATCATTGGAATATTATTATGACCCATGAAAACCTGCCCCAAAAAATGTAAGAGTAGATTGATATTGGTAATTAATGGAAAATCATCATTTTTAATGGGTAAATCCATGTAAATCCACTATTTCTATGGCCATGTTCCATAGCTATGTAAACGTTTACACTATAAATGGCCATTTTCCATAGCTATGTAAACGTTTACCAGAGAGTAGATTAAAAACAACTACGCAGGACTTTGCCATGTCATCCCGGTTTGGGTTTGTGTGTACCCCCAAGGTTCATGGTTCATTATTATTTCCCATTTTTTCATACCATTGGAGTGGCCATTGGACCAGGGCTCAACCCGAACCCCCATTGAAACACAGCTGGAGAATTGGACAGGATGAGGCAAGCAGTCCTTTTTCTTTGAGTCAAAAACAAAATTTGGAACACAGCTGGAGAATTGGACAGGATGAGGCAAACAGTCCTTTTTTTTTTAGTCAAAAACACAATTTGAAACACAGCTGGAGAATTGGACAGGATGAGGCAAACAGTTTTTTTTAAGTCAAAAACAAAATTTGGAATACTTTGGATATCTATCACCCACAATGGGATATTAATGGGATATTATTGATATAATGATGGAATATTAGTGGAATATTTGTTGATATCTTCATTATGGGGATATCTATAATGATAGATACTAAGGCCTTTCGTATATAAACAAAATAGCTGGACGAAATCAAATTCTAGTGATCCGACAATATAACAGTTTCGGACTCATAATCGTCACTATATAAGCGAATATACAGTAGTTTCTTTTGATCCAATTTATCGCTGTAATTTAGTTTTAATAACCCATATGCTCCATGTATGGAATATTTACCAACATTTACCCCATAAATCACCCAAATGTAGGTAAATATACCATACATGGATCCTATGGGTAAGATATCCCTAATCTACGCCGAAGAAATCCCAAGGCGGACCACCAACATCGAGCAGGCGAGGGATCCGATTTTTTTTTGCGACGACAAAGAGATGACTCGAAACAGGGAGACCCCGAAGGCGAAATATGGTGTTTCCTATTACCCTCTGGTAATGACTAACATAGCTATTGAAAATGGCCATTTATAGTGGATTTTACCATTGAAAATGGTGATTTTCCATAGTTATGTTAGTCTACCAGAGGGTAATAGGGGATCCCCAAGTCACAATGGGTTTAATGCTGAAAATCGGTTCAATTTTCTGGTTGGTGCTTTCAAACATTTGGATTATTTTCCATTTCATATATGGGATGTCATCCTTCCCATTGACGAACTCATATTTTTCAAGATGGTAGGTATACCACCAACCAGATATCATTGGCATATAGAACTAGCAACTTGCCATATATACAGATAATTGGTTGATATTTACCATATATTTACCATATATTTACCATATATTTACCAAATCTGTTCAATTTTGGATGGGCTATTCCATGGTATTCCTATATATAGGACACCTCCAGAAACTGGGGCAGAAGCTCCACCAGTTGTTCACCTCGCAACGGCCCCTGACGATCAATGACATTTAAAAAAGGGGAAGGAGATACCCTGTTTTTCAGGAATGTACCTGGGTAAATTATAACGACTTCACTGTTCTCCCTCACTGGAAATCATAGTTAGTAAGGGGAATCATCCCCAAATGGGCCGAACTATTCAGGTTAGTGAAATATGATAATTTACCCAGAGAGGCAGAGAATCTCCAATTTTCCGCAGAATGGAATCGTTTTGGGTTGGTGTTATTTGATGGAATCCCCCTTTTTTCGGTGCTTCAATCTCTCAGATGTCCCAATATCTGATGGAATCGCCCATTTTCCGACTGGGTAACTCCCAATTTCTGTCGGCTAAACCCACATTGTGGTTTCAATCATAATCCATCCGTGTTTCATTGGTAAATTCGTGCGATTTGCCTGCTGTTCCTGCTGAATTCTTTCCCTGGGTGGTCTTTAGCCATTGAAAATCATTGAAAGCTAAAACAACATTTTATTGGTCTGGGCCAATTTTAGACCCCCCAAAACCAGCGTGTTTGGCCGTGAAATCAAGTGAAATCCCACTGTTTCTGGGATAATTTTGATGTTTTTTTGGTGCTTCGCCAGTGGTTCTCCACTGGGTGGTTCCACCCGGTACCCGCTACCGGGATTTCGCACAGCTCCAGGCGATGTTGACCAACAATTTCATCTCCTCCGCTCTTAGGGCCTTGTACCGTTTGGAGACCCAGGACGCTCTTGCAGGATCCGGGCTGATTCAGTTACGGGTGACCCATGGTGAGTAGATTGCAGCCTAAATGTGAAAGTCACATGGGTCCTTCCAGTTCCCATATCCATGGTGTACATCGCCCTGGTTTTGATCTATAAAACTCGCAGTTTTATAGAGCTAGGTTTGCCGGACATCTGGATCATTTGCTGTGACCTCATGCAGTTGAACATTGTTAAACATCAATTTTTACGGCCTGAAATCTGGCTTTGGACATGTGTGGAATTTATGATGGATCAAACAAATCAGTTGAAGATCTAGAATGATGGGGCCCTAGATGTAGATGGATGGGACACGGAATTCCCCAGGGAGTTGGCGTTTAACCTTCCAATTGGATACGCAACACGAAAGCCAAGTGTTAGGATTCGAGGTTGAAGGATTTTTGCACATATTACGATTGAGGCACTCTTTATAAAATGAGGATATAACTAACATATAGACCATATATAGACCATATACATGATATGATTACTGTATATTTCATGTCTGGATAGAGAGAGAGAGAGAGAGATAGATAGAGTGAGGGAAGTCAATCAGTATGACTATAGCAGCTTCACTTGCCCTCCGCCTTCATCAAAGTTTCTTCCGCCTTTGAACCTTGGAAGCTTTGTAGACCCTGGTTTGGTCGGCCAAAACTGTTGTTTTTAATTTCGAAATTAAATCTAACATCGCAGTGCGTTATGTTTTTTGTTTCGGGTTTCTAAGTTTGACTGGAAATTTTGTCATTCCCTCGTATACGAAGCATGAACCTTGTGGCTTGGTGAGTTTCCTACTTTGAGGATCACCTCATCACTAAAACCAGGCGCGCCAGCCCTAGGTTTTTAGCCGTTGTATCCCAACCCCTATAATGAACATAAAAAATCAGAGAAAAAATATATAATAAATAAATAAATAAAATAATAATAATAATAATAATAAAAATAATTATATAATATATAATTATCAAAATATTTTGTATTTTCAATATTTTAAGGAATTCAAAAATTCGGAAATTAAATATATTAAAGTACCGGATACGAAATCATACAATTACATATAAAATTAAAAAAAAAATCGTCGTTAAAACACAAAAAAAAAACATATTCGGAAAAGTTTTTGAAATTAATATTTAAAATATATGTGGAGTTGACTACCATGCTAGGGCCAATGGTAGGACGCTGTTCCAGCATTAGCTGAGGGAGACTTCCGCTGGAATGAAGTACAGCCCACGCAGCAAGCGGTGCAGTTGGACCTGGAGGACCTCATGGGTGAGCTCGAGATGGCCAAGAGCGATGTGGTGCAGTGGCGCTTGGGACTCAACCATGCTACTGGCATCAGCACTGACAGATGCCTTTCTGCAGTGATCATGACGATCGACGAGCTGCGGTGCTACGATGCCTTTCCAGTTTTGCTGCCAGTTTTCACTGCCTTCAAGAGCTACGAATGGAATATCCAACATGCTCGCAATGCCCCAGAACGTGCCAGACTACCTGCAAGATCATATGAAGAGCAACAGTCTCACTGACTTGGAGCGTTTCCGAGCTACAGGAAAAAGAGAGATAGCGAGTGATATCAAGTGATTCTGAGCATATCTGCGGATATCTGCGGTAATTAATTAGTGGAACCAGGAATGGCTTATGTACAGATTACAGTAAGGTCCATTTGGATCTGAATTGATGATTTTTGAAATTATTTGAATGATTTTGAATCTATTTGATATCAATGACATTCAATGACTCAATTATGACTCAAGTAATCTCAAGTAAGTGATCTGTAATGATCTGCAATTAATGGCTTGGTGGTGTTACGACCAATTTCCATGGGGGATCCCCAAGCTCACTGGATGTTTTTTCTAGTGACAAATCCCATAAATAGATGATAGCTGGGGGTACCCCTATGACGAAACGGAAGCCTCCATTTTTCGGGGACTTTTGATTTTACGGGGGTTGGAAGATTTCGGAATCCCCTATAAGGTGAGCTTCCCCCAACCCAAACGTTCAACGGAGCACGGGAGCACGGGAGCCTCACCTGCCGTGATCTAACCATGATTTCGCTCCACAAGTCTCCCTGCGGCCCAGGCCACCCTACAGACCCAACGATTACAAGAGAAACCTTGTTGCTGATGATTTACATGGTCCGGGAACGCAGCCGCGTGCTGGATGGAGTTACGACAAATCCATGGAGGTGGAGGAATCATGCTATATTGATACATGTATAGTATATATATATATGTATATATACTGTATATATCATATATATATATACACATTGTTAGGCCCTACCAGTATGCGCTGAAACTGTATTCCCAAACTGGATGATGAGAAATGGACTCATGAACCAAAGGAAAAGACATGGTAAAAACCTTGCTTTCCTTTGGGGTCATTCTTTGGGTTATAAAACACCATGTAAATACACAGAAGTGGAAAAACTGCAGATATATCTTTCTATCTATTCCAATGATTTATGGTAAATCGTGATAGATCTAAGGAAAATGGTAGAGTCTGGGTACAAGATATGTGGCAGAATGAGTCCCAGTTTGGGGTGACAAATTGACGAGACGGTCGTTTTCAGGTCAATGAGGAAGCGGAACACAACGAGCATGCGCAGGCAGGGATGCCATGAGAGAAGGAGCGATACAGACATGGGGCGGATTCCGCTCAGCTAATCTCTGCCGGTGAACAAAAATCACATGTCGACGAAATCCCATAAATTTGACATGCCAATGGTTCTGAAAGTATCTGTAAAATTCTATAGAATCATTCTTTTCTTGGTGAAATTCTTGGTGAAATTTTCGCTTTCCTGATCTAATTTTCTAAATCCGAGTTTGTTTCCATTCATTGTCATATTTTTGTCAGCTGTTTTTTCCACTTATCCCACTATTTCTGGTCTAGTTTTGTTTAACTATTCAAAATTTCCATTACCCTCTGGTTATTTAACATAGCCATGGAAGCCATGGCCCATAGAAATAGATGGTTTACAGTACCTAGTAAAATCATGGATCTTTCCATGGCAAACTGTTAGTCATAACCAGAGGGTAATTTCCAATCCCAGAGGATCCATGTATAGAATATTTACCTACATTGATCCCTAAAGTAATTTAAAATAATCCCAATGTAGGTAAATATTCCATACATGGATCCTTAGGGAATTATTTCCATTGATTTGCTTAAGATCCAACGATTTCTCCCATGTTTTTGGTATCTCAAGTTGTTTTTTTTCCGGAAAAAGAGGCCAAACTGCAGCTCCTGCAGCCTCCGGAGCGGCCCTTCACGTCACTGGTTGGTGGATTCGGGGCATTTTTTGGGGGAGAAGATGTGGAGTTTCAGGGTTTGCTTGTTGGTTGAGAAGTGCCTTGAGAAGTGGGGCTAGAGTTGGTTGAGAAGTGCCTTGAGAAGTGGTTGTTTGTTTGTTTTTTTTGTTTGATGTTGACAAAACTGGGCCAAAACTGGCTCAAGGAGGAAGTGGGCACATGCGGCCATGTGAAACACTCGATGTCAAAAACAAGAACCGTGCAAAGAGTGCAATGTTTGTTCATGAAATGCCAAAATTATTTCCAACATGGAATTTGCCCTATGTATGTATATCCCCCAATCTTTAGCACGCCCGGCACCCATACACCATCATCATCATATATCATCATATTGTAATGCGCGACTAAATCCGAATTTATTTTTGGTTTACGAATCATCTGAGCAGTGCTCAAAACCCCTGTTGGTTGATTAGATTATTTTATTGTATTAGTTATACTATCATATATACAATTTATGTATTATAATGTAAAAACTCCTGCAGTAAAACCATGTAGTGTACATATCATCGTACTACTCTGTAGCGTTGGTTCAAAACAGTGCCAGCAGCTTAGCGGTTACTTGCCCCCATTAGTGTTGTAACATATTGGTGGCTGACCTTGTAAAATACAGGTTATCAGCCGTAGTCTCACTACTTTGCTATGGGGACCCCAACTGACCTATCTCTCGCCGTTCCAGGGTCAGGTCCATCGGCTGTCGCTGTGCCCAATGTGGCCGGGGGCAACCCCGAGCCGATGGATGACGAAACAATGTTCCAACCCGTTGTAGCGTACTTCACCTTCATACAAAACAACCTTTCCCAAATCACCAGTGGGAACACCCTGCAAGTCATGAGGGAAGCTGAACAGAGGCACCTTAAGATAATGCATGGAGTAGTTGACTCAATTCGAAACGAATGGTCAAGTAGGCTCGTAATGCAAGAGCAGGAGTATGAGCAAAGGTTGCAGGAGGTTGAAGGTAAGGCCATCAGTGCCGTCAACGAGGAAGGAAACGAGGCGACGAGTTAGAGGTCAGGTTAAATCAGGCTCAGGCATCGCATGACAAAAGAGTAGAGGATTTCAAGGCAGAGGCAAACACAAAGCATGATCAGAAAATTGCAGAAGAAAGGCAACGTATCACTAGTGAATTCGAAGCTTCCTATGCACAGACAGTTGAACATGCTAAGAATGCCATAGCTGCCACAAAGAAGCAATATGAAGATCAGGCTGCAATTGATCAGGCCAGGCTCATCAGTTTGAGGACCGAGTTCGAGAACTACAAGAAGGAGATGGCCGAAAAGATCAACGAGGCAGCGGCTCAGAACCTTAGCCTTCAGGACCAAATCGATGACCTTCAGGAGCAGTTAAAGCATGTTGCCAAAGCGCAGCATGCCTCCGTTCCGAAAGCATCCGTCCGGAACGCCGAGCCGGCCGCTACCACTAGCGTGCCCCACTTCAATATTGCCACTCCCAAAGCATCCGATGCACAGGCTGCCAAAGGCAGTGATGAGCCGATTCATGAGTTGAAAACGCCTGCAGTGTTGGCACAAGAAGCAAAGGCGAAGTTGGATGAGCTGCTCAAAGGTGGCAGTCCCAAGCAAAAGCCGGCTGTCGGCAACGACCAGCCCCAATTGCCAATGCAGTCAGGGTTTTTCACTCCCACTGAAGCTATCAAAACTCCCCCAAATGACTCTCCTAAGAGCGTAACCAAGCAACAGCAAGTGATGGGTCCCTCGGATCTTATTGAATTGGTGAAAGCCTTAACCCAAAGGGAAGAAAAGGATAAGCCAAAAACTAAGGAGGCCGAAATCATCAAGCTGAACAACATGCCCGCTCCGGAGTCGTATAGGACTTGGAAAAATCATGTCAGGGATGAAGTGAAAAGCTGTTCAGATCGCCCGGATGAGGCATGGCTCTGGCTCAATGAGGTGTATGATCAAGAGTGCACCAGAGAGCAGTTGGAGAAGAAACTCCAAGATCCTGGGAAGTTCCTCACGCTGGATACAAAGCTATCAGCAGCGCTCACACGCTCAGCCGGAGGGGACCTCGCAACTAGGATCTTGAATTTCAAAGAGCAGCAATCCCGAAAAGGCATCCAGGTCAGGGGAAGGTACGTTCTGCTCATGTTTGAGGACTACTTCAAGACATCAGAAGAAGCAGGTAGCCTTTACAGAGTAGAAGATCTTTTGGGTGTTGTCAAAGTAGGCGATACTGTCCAGGATCTCCGAAGATTCATCAACAAATGGGATGCTACCCTAGCTGGCATGGCTGTCACCCCCGATGATGCTGTGTTAAGGGACATCTTGTTGAGGCAGATCCGACCAAGTCAGTTGCTGAAATATGACATTGAGATGTTTGACCGTGCTCATGAGAAATCCCATGAAAAGTCTTATAGTTTTCTTCACCAATCCATGAAGAACTTGATCGACCGTGAACGATTAAGGGAGAACAGGAACCGCATCGCGGAGAAGAACAAGGCTGGGATCAAGGACACGAAGGCCGCACCCGCCAAAGGCGATGGTCGCGGTGGCCGAAAGGGCTCCCCAAGTCGTGGTAGATCGCAGGAACGAGGTGGCAAAGGTGACAAGATCTGCTATAAGTTCCAAAAGGGTACCTGTGATAAGGGGAAGAAATGTCCATTTAAGCATGTCAAGGAGGACAAATCTCGAACTCAATCACCCAGAAGAACCAAGACACGTTCACCATCAAGGGGCAACAAAGATGATAAGGGGAAGAAAATGTCCAAGGAAGAAATGGCCAAAACCCCATGTATCTATCATGCCCAGGGAAAGTGCAGACGTGGTGACAAATGTTTTTATAAGCATGATGACAAAGCTGCTGCCGCCACCAAAGACACCAAAAGGGCCAATTCACCCGCTCCCAAGAAGAAGAGCAAGGATTCAACAGCCGCTCCATGCCTGATCCAGAAGTTTGCATGCATCGTCCGAAAACAGCCGAAGGCAACTTCGTGCTCTGATGAGTCAAGTGTCAGCATGAAGCGTCTTAGATTCCGAAAGACCCCACATGTGATCGAGGTGAAAGCAGTTGGTCATCAAGTCCCAGTCAAGCACCGACCAAGAGAGTTCACTAAGGTGTACAAGACAGCTGAAGACGTTCCAGTTTCATCCAAGGTTGAACAACATGAGGCTCAGGTTCGTGCAAGACAGCTTCAGGAAACTGTGAAACTTCATGATTCAGATGTTGCACCTAGTTGTGGGTTTTGTTGTTGGAATGAGGATACGCGTGACATCACATGCAAAGAGTGCAGGTTCATTAGCGGTCCCAAAGCTCTTAAAGACATTGGTCGTTTTCCGTCAATTGCCACAGCCGCGCCAAAGGCCGGTGTTAGTTGGCTTGTCGACTCAGGTAGCGAATCCGATCTTGTGTCCAAGGGTATGTTGAGGGACGTCAGCGCCAAGAACTGCCGTGCAGCCGAGCATCCGATTTCCTTAGTCACAGCCAATGGTTCGACTGAGGCCAATGAGGTTGCTGATGTCAAGTTGTCCGCATTGCCAGATCCTGTGCATCCGTATGTACTTGATCATACCCCAGCTGTGCTCTCCGTAGGAACGAGATGTGTAGATCAGGGTTACAGTTTCGTATGGCCTGCCAATGGCAAACCGATCCTAGTCCGTCCAGATTACAAGGTCGTCCAGCTCAAGATCGAAGGTCACGTCCCAATCTTGGATGATAGTTGCAAGGTTTATCCCAAAGATCAATTCCAAAAGGATAAGCACCTCAAAAAGTTGTTTGCAATGCCGACCTCACGGTCGAGCTCAAAAGCCAAGCGGGACGAAGCCCAAGATGAAGAGCAACTGGACGAGCTGGTGGAGGATGACGCTCAGCAGGAGTACATCCGAAGCCGCAAGACTGAGGATCTGTTGGCTGAAGCTGCAAGTACCCAACATCAGTACACGCATTTCCCCAAGAACCCCTTTTGCAGAACTTGCCAACGAGCAAGGATGATGGCACCTCAGGCACGAAAGAAAGGTGGTCAGAAGAGAATCGAAACTGAAGTGTTTGGTGATCACGTCATTGGGGATCATGTCATCATCAAGAAAAACGTAGAAGAGGGTTTCAGGGGGGAGCAAGTTGCATTGGTGTTGAAAGATTTGCACACTCAATATCGGTATGTCTACCCTAGCCAATCCAAGGACTCACAAAGCTGTGTTGATGGTTTGAATCACTTCATCGGATCAAAGGATGATGTTCAAGTTGTGTACACTGACAATTCCCCAGAATTGATCAGGGCCATCAAGGATTTGGGTTACAGACACCAAACTTCCATTGAATATGTAGATTCATCAAAGTCTTTTGCTGAGCGCGAAGTTCGTCAGATGTTGGAAGGTGCCCGGAGCAACTTGTTGCAATCAGGACTTCCTTTGAAGATGTGGCCCTTGGCCATGCAGCATCACGCGACCGCGATCAATGCAAGCCCCCAGCTTGACGGCAGTGAATCCCCATGGCAACTCAGGTTTGGTGAAGAGTTTCCTGCAATGCACATTCCATTTGGTGCCAAAGTGTTGTTCTGGAATAACCCCAAGAGGTTGGATAACACATCAGGTAAGCTCTCCCCAACAGCAAATGAAGGAATTTTCCTTGGGTATTACATCCAACCAGGCCATGATTGGAAGGGTGAATACTTAGTTGCCAAGTTGGAAGCCGCAGATTATCATGTCAACTGGGGTGCACTGACAATCCAAAGAACAAAGAGGTTGGAATTGCCATCCGAGGGTTTCATCTTTCCTTTGAAAGCTCTGATTGACTCGAAAGCACCCAAAGCCGATCGCCTCGAGGACCAGGTCATTCCGAAGACACCCAAAGCTGTGCCTCTTGAGTCCAGTTTGCATCCGCCACAAGATGAGTATGAATACGAGCCAGGAACGCCTCTACCAGCCGACAGCGATGTCGAGCCTGATGCACCCGAAGCGCCCGTATTTCCAGATCTCAAATTGACCCCCAAAGGTGAAATTATTCCAGATGGA